TATTTCCATTATCTTTGTTATTATTATCATTTAATGATCCAAAAGGTATTAAAAATTAAAAAAATATTAACTATTAAAAAATTCTTAATAAAGACTTTTTAAAAACTTTTCCTTATTTATTCTTCTTTAATATTAATTCTTTTTTAAATCTTTTAATTTCTATAAAAATAATTATAATCCTTACCTACCAATTAAGAATTTCTTTTTCTTCTTAATTATCTTTTTCTATTCTAACCTTAATCTCCCACTAAGTCTCTAATTTTAAAATTTATAAATATATTTTAAAAAAATATTATTTTATTAATAATAAATTTTAAATAATATAAATAAATATGGATATTTTAGATAATAATAAATTAAATTATTATAAATTATTTAAATCCTTATTTTAAAATCCTTCTTTATCTAATTCTTTTTTATTTTCTAGATTAGGATCTATTAGTTTATTCTATATCTAATTATAATATTCCTTAAAAAATAATTCTTAAAAAATATAGAAATTTTTTATCTTATTTTTAAAGATTAATAAAATAAAAAAAAATTAATTAATAATAATAATAAAATATTTTATAAATAATTCATATTATTTCTTAACCTAATATTAATATTAATTAAAAAATTATTAAAATATGATGAATTTATATCTTAAAAAGGTATAATTATTATTAAATTAATTAATGTAAAATATTTTAATTTAAAAATAATAAAATTAATAATAAATTAAATAATTAAATAAATTCTATTCATTAAAAAAACTTAAAATTCTTTTATTATATTTAAAAAAATAATTTTAGATTAATAATTAAAAAATTATAAAAAAAATAATTAAATATATAAGAAATATCTGTTACGTTCCAAGCTGCGGGGTAATATATATAATATAGAATTGGGGAATAGTAACTAATTGGTCACTGGAAAGCTTTTATTTTATGGCTTAACTAATTGTCCCCAAACTAGTTCGTGACAATATCTATAATTATATAATTATCCTTTTTTCCTCTCTTTAAAATCTATTATTATTATAATCTAATTAATTTAATACCAAATCATCTAGATTATATAGATCATATAAATCACTTTAAGTCATATAAAATAAAGAAAATCCCAATCCTCTATAGTTCTTCCATAATTAGGCTGGGATATCTCCACTTCTGGTTCCTTAATCGTTGACTGGTACTGTTAATTTGTGACAATTAACCTAATAAAAAAATTAAAAATTAAATAAAAACTTTTTATAATAATTTATTTTTGAATTAATAAATAAATAAAATAATTAAATTAAATATTAAAATAATATTTATAAAATTATATTAATTATAAATAAGATAATTAAATAAAATTTTTATTATTTATTATATCTTTATATAATATTTTAATAAATAATATTACTAAGATATCACTATAAGAAGTACTATATAAATAATAAATAAATATAGAATATAAGTTATTAATAAATAAGATTACTTTAAAATTAGAAATAATATTATTTAAAATAAAAACATTTATTATTAAAACCTTAATATTATAAATTAAGTTTAAATAATACCTTAAATTTTTATAAAAATAAATAATAATATATTATAATAAAAAAAAATTAAAAAATTAATTTTATAAAAGGAAAATAAAATCTATTTTTTATAAGATAAATAATATTTAACCTTAAAGATATTATAGATTTAAATTAAGAAATTAAATTAAAAATTAAATTTTAAGAAGTTAAGATATTTTTTAATTAAGGAAGTTCTTTTTAAAATAAATTATTGTTTATAATTATTAATAAATATAAAATTAAAAATTAATATGTTTTATATTATTATATTTGAATTAATATCTAAAGATATTAAATTTAAAATAGATATTAAATTGAAAGAAAATCTAGAAGAATATGATATTAAAATCATTTAAGATTCTAAAATTACCAATAATTAGATCAAATATTTTATTAAATAATTTAATTATTTAAAAAAAAAATATCTAGGAATTATAAGAATATCTTATAAATAAAAAAATTTAAGAATTAATTAAGGATTTTTATTATTAGAATCCTAATCAATTAAAATCTATATAGTTATAATTGATAATAATATTAAACCAAAATTAAAATTTATTTCTAAAAAGGAAATAAGGGAGATTAAAGAAGAATTAATAAGAGGCTATTAGGTTTTAGACTTTTTTAAACTTTTTTTTTCCTTTTTTTCCTTATTTAGTTATTCTTTATATTAAAGAATTTTTACCATTTTCTTTTTAATTATTTCTTTTTGTTAATAAAGATAATATGTTTAATTAAGAAATTTATAAGTCCTTTTATATTATTAATTTAATAGATATTAAATCTTTTCTTATTAAATATATAAAAAAAACTTTAAAACTTTTTTAATATTATGGTATTTCTTTTAAAATCTATTATATTTAAAATCTAAATTATTAAAAGAATTTATTATTATTATATTATAATTAAGCTTTTATTTATAGATATAATAATTATATATGTTATTTTTAAAGAAATAATAATAAAATAATTTACCAAAATAGGAATAATAGGAATATAGGGAATCATAAATATTGAATCTATTAATATGATTAGTTCTATAATTATAAAATTTATATTATTTTATATATTTTAAAAAAGTTAAGCTTTTTTAAATTTAATTAAATATAATTAATATAATAAATAAAATGTATGATATTTAAAAAGGAAAAAGATATTTATTTATTTTTTATTTTTAAAAGATAAAGATCTTAAAAATAAGATATAATATCGTAAATTAACAATATTAAATAATAATTAAAAAACTAAAAATAAAAATATTTCAGATTAATCATAAAGGAATTATAAGAAATATGATTCTGTTTATTTATATGATTTAAAATAATCTAAAATTAAATTAATTAAATTATAAATAATAATAGATTTTAAACAAAGAAAAAAAGAATAATTATATAATCATAAATATTTCTTATATATTTAATTATTTTTTCTATAACTCTTTAATTATTAATCTAAGACTACTCTTTTAAATATAATAAAAAGATTTCAAACCTTTTTAACAAACAGAATTTATTTAATTATTTAACTTATTATTAATATTATTATTTTTAAATTAAGATATCTTAGATCAATCAATCTAATAATGGTTATACCTCTTTAAGATATAGGTTCATCACATGCCTTTTAATATTATTAATATAAATTATAATATAATTTAAAAAAAAAAATATAATTTAAAATTAATAATCTAAGAATCAATTAGATATATAATTAATTTTATTAGGATAAACAAAAACAAAATTTAATTTTTAAATATTGAAAAAAGGTTAATGTAAATGAAATAAAATAATAACTATAAGAATATTATATATAGATAATATTATAAAAAAATATTTTATATTTTTATATCTTATAATATAATAAATAAATATAAAAGAATTAAATAATTAAAAATAAATTAAAATTAAAGAAAAATATATAAAAATATTTTTGAAATTATTTTAAAATAATTTAAATATAGATATAAATATATTAAAATATAATTAATATAATTATAAAATTATATTAAATTTATTAATTAAATTAAAATTATTAATAAGATATTTAATCTTTTTAATATTTAAAAAGAATAAGGAGAGGATATTTAAATTAAATAAAAAAATAATAATATAAAAAAATGTTTATAATTATTAATAATTAAATAAGATTATAATTAAAAATAGATATCTTTTATTATATATTAAAAGTTTAAAAAAAGAAATAAATAATAATAAATGGTTTATATTATTAAATTTTAAAATTTATTTTTAATTTTATATAAATTATTAAAAAAGATAAATAGAAAATAATTATTAAAATATTATATAATTATTTTATAAATATTTTAATTTTAATAAAAGATTATTAAAGGAATTCATTATTGTAATGTTATAATCAACTTTATTTACTCTTATAAGATAATAAAATAAAATAAAGTAAAATAAAATAAGTTAAAATAAAAGAGAATAAAAAAAAGAATATTAAATTATATAATTATAAAATATTTCTTATATATTTAATTATTTCTTTTATAATTTTTTAATTATTCTTTTAAATATAATGAAAGGATTTTAAACTTTTTTAATAAATAAAATTTATTAAATTATTTAACTTATTATTAATATTATTACTTTTAAATTAAAACACCTTAAATTAATTAATCCAGTAATAATTATACCTTTTTAAAACATAAGTCCATTATAAAATCTTAAAAAGTAAGGTATAATATCATAAATTAAAAAAATTATTATAATTAAAATGGATATCTTTTAATTAATTATAATTAAATCATAGAAAAATCATAATATATATAATTAATATAATTTAATTAAATTAATTAAATTATAATAATAATAGATTTTAAAAAAAGGAAAAAGGAATAATTATATAATTATAAATATTCTTTATATATTTAATTATTAATTTAAGATTATTTTTTTTAAATATAATAAAAAGATTTTAAGTTTCTTTAATAAATAAAATTTATTAATATTATTATTTTTAAATTAAAACACCCTGGATTAGTCAATCCAGTGTCATAACCTAGGAACCCCATGCCTGTATTTAAAGGATGAATAGGGCTTAAAATAATCAATAATGACATAACCTTAAGTACTTAAATATGTCGACCAGTAATATATTTAATATAAAGAACATATCGAACATATTTAATATGAAGGAAGAAAGGATATTTATATGAACTATTAAAATCTCTTATATATTTAATCATTTTTTTTATAATTTTTTAATTATTAATTTAAGATTATTCTTTTAAATATAATAAAAAGACTTTAAGCTTTTTTAATAAACAGAACTTACTTAATTACCTAACTTATTATTAATATTATTATCTTTAAATTAATTAAATTTAATAACGACTATACCTCTTTAAGGCATAAGTTCGTCACATCCAGTAATGACTATACCTTTTTAAGGTATAAGTTCATTACATATAAATATATTTAATAAAAATTTTTTTTTATTTTTTATTAAAAATTTTATCATAAACTAAGAATCCTACACCCACTTTTAAAGGATGAGTGGGGCTTAATATAATTAATAATGGTATAACCTTAAATACTTAAATATGTTAATTAATAATACATTTAATATAAAAAACATATTTAATATAAAGAATATAAAGAATATATTTAACATATTTAATATAAAAAATAAAATAAAAAAATAACTATATAATTATAAAACATTTCTTATATATTTAATTATTTTTTTCATAACTTTTTAATTATTAATTTAAAATTATTCTTTTAAATATAATAAGAAAATTTTAAGCTTTTTTAACAAATAGAATTTACTTAATTACTTAACTTATTATTATTATTATTATCTTTAAATTAAGACATCCTAAATTAATCGATCCAGCAACGGCTATACCTCTTTGAGGCATAGGTTCGTCACATTTTTCTTAAAAAAGGATTAAAAAGAGCCTTTAAAAATAGGTTTAAAAAATGATATAATAACCTGAGAAATCTCAGGCATAAATCTTTCCCCCTTTTTTGTTTTTTATCTTCTCTTTTCTTATAGAACCTAAAATGTCATATTCTAAGTCAGTCATTATCGTAGGCGGTATGTAGTTTCTTACCTCTATCTCCTAAGCCTCTTAATTCCCTAACATCTTATTCAGCAGGTGTCTTTGGTCTCTCGCTCGCACTTGCTCTCCGTGCCCGTAGTAAGTCCTCTTCTCGTCCCTTAAAATAATTGCTAACTTCATGATGACTATGATGTCGTGGTTTTCGACCAGCATCCGTATGATAGATCGGCCTATCAGCCTGGGTATGATGACGTTGTCCAAGCTGCCTCCGTTGATCATAATAAAATAGTTAGTCGTTCTAATTTATTGTTTTTCATTTACCTGACATATCATCCAGTTCCGAGCGTCGTATGGGACAAAGGCCCACTACCAACGACTTGCCTTAGAGAGTCGACGAGAATGGATTTCCCTCAACGCAGCTAGTAGAGATTTGCAGAAGGACGGCGCTGACCTATTCGTAAACTGCGGCATGCTCCGAGTCCAACCGACCGATGAACTTGGAGCCCTCGAATTGGAAACGTTAAAAAATTTGGAGCGCGATGGGTTGAGAGACACACAGTTCATAAAAAGCGACTTGGAGGATCGACAGCGCGCTCGTAAGCTAGGGTGGCAATCCAAACTACTTGAATTCGACATTCCCGATGTATATCCCGCCAAGACCTTTGAAGCTGTCCTCGACTCGCTCGCTGGGTATACGAAATCCAGTGAGGCATGCGCCCATTATCAAAAGGTGGCCTCGATTCGAGGTGTTAAATTCCAATTTGGTCTAGAAGGGACTTTCGATTCGTTGGTCAAAGAACCTATCCCAGGGTCGGGCCGAATACGAGCTGTTGGTATAAGAACCAAGGATGGGGTTTTTCACAAGGCTGACGTGGTCGTCATTGCTGGTGAGCGAGTCCTTAGCTTCACTCATCTGAGAATCATATGCAAACTATTGTAGCCGGTTCCTTCTCGACGCAACTGTTCCCAGAGTTGTCTTATCACCTCGAATCGTCCGCCGGTAGTGTTGTTACCTTCAAGATCGATAAACATAACACTGTTTTGTGGAATAAATACTCTCCTGAACGATTCCCCGTTATGACATGGAAGAGCGCAACCCGTGGGAAAGATGGTAAAGATATCGGAAGCGTATATGTCTTTCCAAGAACCGAAGATGGTGTTATGAAAATTGGCTACCGTGGTATAAAGGTAACGAGCTCATTGATCCTTTTTATTTATACGAACTAAACCATGGCAATATAGTTCACGAATTTCCAGCCAGCCCCCAAGGGTACCCCTTTCACTCAACACGATCAGTGGTCCGTTCCTCTTCCACCCCTAGAGTCCCTATCTATACCACAGCCAGCTATAGACGCGATTAGAGCTTTTGTTTCCATCTTTCTCCCTGAATTTAGAGACGTTGCATTTCATTCGACCAAATTATGCTGGTACACGGATTCATTGGACAACTCATTTGTGGTAAGTTAACCGAGTTAGACTCTCCATGAACAATGCCTAGTTAACCATTATGCAAAGGTCGACTATGTGCCAACATACGCTGAAAATTCTGTCTTCGTCTGTGCAGGGGGTAGTGGCCATGGTGCTAAATTCCTACCTGTTTTAGGCGAGGTAATTCCCCTTAATAATCTGGTTTGATTAGTACTGGAATTAACATATTGACCCCATTGTACAGCACGCTGCGGATATACTCGAAAAGGGTGAAGAGAGTTCATCGTATATGCGTAAATTTTGGCGGTGGCGTGATAATATTCCTCGGGGCAATGGGCTCCAGGAAGGGCCAGATGGGCCCAGAAATATTGGGAGGGAAAGAATTCACACGTCGGATACTTAGTTCTACGCCTGTACGAATTCATCCGAGGTATCATAATGTATTTTGAACCAGTGTTGCGGTGCCATATATTGTTTACTTATAAGAAACGAAGTAATCTGTTAATTACGTCGGGTTAGTTAACTCAGAGACTAGCAACTGGTTCCGCCACCGTAGCCGACTAGTACAGCTTGTTATGGGGAAATAGTATTAATGTGTAGGAATAGATTAACTAATTCATCCATCCATCAAGATATTTGAAATATGCAACACGGATTCGCCGAACCCCTGAGGGTTAGACTGGCCCTCAAGGTTATCTGGGTGGGCCGTTCTGCTTGGCCGTGTCTTTTTAATTGAATCTTCGGCCATAGGTCCTGCGGCACAAGCCGCACTTGTAGGTAGATAAAATTTTAGTAAGGGTCTGAAAATCCATGAATAGGGGCTGTGGGGATCCTGATCGAGCTGAGAACCTTGGTGGCCGCCGCATATTACGGTAGTTCTCGGCTGTGTGGCGCAAGCGGTGAAGCAAGCTTCTTGTTCCCAACTATGTCCAACTATATCACACGCAGGGACAGAGAAGCTTCGCCAAGCAGATATCTGGGGGGTCGTGATTAAGAAGCTTCCTGTTCAAGTATCTCTCCGACCTACTCACCTGAACTACGAAATCTCTAATTCATACCAATGGATTGTATGGTTCACTTGTCGGTATCAAGGCAGTTCGCACGTAAGCCTCTCTTACTCGTGCCTTGGGTTGTCTATATTTAGTTTGTAAATAGTTCTGTGACGGAATCGCCAAGTAGCTAGGGCCACGCAATAGTTTCTCAACGAACCTCGGTTTGCTGTACGGAGCCGCTCTCACACTGTTTAACATTCTTGGCTTCAATCATCTTCATCTATGTAAGGCGTTCAAAATATATCTAATCGAAGGATTGTATCATTAATGGTTGAAATAGGCAACTTGCAAGTAGGCTCTACCGCTACTATGTAGTTTCAAAGTAGCCAATAATAACGTGTTATGCCCCCTACTGGGCATTTCTTATAGATTTGTTATTCGATTGTACCTAGATCGTGTCTACAGGTTGGTTTTTTTTTTTTTAGCCTCGGGTTCTAAATTCGGGTGTGGTCGAGGCCCAGTCCTACGGAAACTGTTTAGGCACCGCTCGCGAACCTTGATGTCTTGTGAACGGGTTGATAGTATATAAATTATGTGTTTACTCGTACTGCTTTACTTAAATTCGGCATCGACTCACGAGCTTTGCGGAAACTTCCTAATACGACACCATTGAGACAATTCGAACGCCGGTACCAGTGGTCGAGATTTAATAAATTCAATGTCGACAGAAATTCGTGATACCGAAAGTCCCATTCAGGGCACTCAAAACACCATGGAGGAAAAAGTCGACATCACTAGAAACGATAAGCAACCCGTAGAGGAGTTATCCCGGAGGCGAATCCTTGATCCGAATAACCTCAGGCATGTTGGGGTCGGTGATGTCGACGACACGTCCATTTTCTATAATCTGAATAAGGATAAAGCAGGGCCCTTAACCCCCGAGTTGGAAGGCAAAATAATTCGCAAAAACTTTTGGTGTCTTCTGAGCCAGACGTGGTGGATTGCCTTTCTTATCCATCTGGACAAGTCCACTCTTTCTCAGGCTAGTACCATGGGTCTTTTTGAGGATGTCAATATTACCAAGCAGCAGTACAACGATCTATTTGTTATGTTCTACGTTGGCTATCTGATTGCATTATGGCCAGGTGCCTGGCTATCGCAGAGGATTGGCCAAAAATACTTCATCACTGGCTCTCTTTTCCTATGGGCTTTCCTGTTGGGGATGCATCCGCTTGTCAAAACGGGTCAGCAGTTGATGGGCTTACGATTTGTGTTAGGGATGGTCAGTTTGAAGTCTTCCCTACCCTCGTCTAATGCATCACAGCGTTTGTTAACGTCAAACAGGCTGAGTCGCAGATTGTGCCCAGCACGACTGTCATTCACCAAGCATTTTTCCCTCCCAAAAAGAGCCCCTGGGTTCAGCTCCTATGGTGGGCGTCGGGTAGTTTCGCTAACGTTCTCCTTGTATGTATGAAGACATGTAATGCGGTTTTCTCACTTCTCTCCTACTCGCTACAACCCTCATCATTTCCGAATTCAAACAATTATCTTTATCTCGGTGTTGAGAAACAATAGAATACAGAGGATAGAAGGCTGACAAACATGTTATACCAACAGACCATGGTTGCCTATAAGCTTATCCTAGACGATGGGCACCTCATCGGCGGCATCTCCTCGTGGAAGTGGCTCCACATCATTTGTGTCGTCCTAACGTTTGTTGTATTCTTACCTCTTGTCATATTCTTGCCAAACTCTCCCATGGAAGCAAGGTGGCTTAGTACTGAGGAGAAGGTCCACACCATTACAATAATTCGCGACACCCACGCCGGTATCTCGAACACCTCATTCAAATGGTCTCAGGTACGCGAATGCTTGGTAGATCCTAAGAGTTGGCTATTCATGTGAGTATATGTGTAAGTTGCCACAATGGTTCTCTGTCCGCTAACCTTTCAGTTTTCATATGTTCTTCAATGAACTTCCGAATAATACATCTCAGCAGTTGCCACTAATCATCGTAGGATTCGGTTTCACGGCGGCTCAGAGCGCTCTTTTCAATATCGCAAAGCCTCTCATTGGAACTTTCTTCATTCTTGTGTCGGCTTGGTTGCTTTATAGCACAAATCTGGGGACCGGATATACTTGTGCTATTTCCTACATTCCCTGCTTTGTCGGCGGTATTATTGAGGTAGGTACAGGGGATATAAAGTCGATATGGATAATTGTAGACTGACAGTTCCTCAGCTTGTCTCACCATGGGAAAATAAGATTGCCCTTGTTGTTGGGACACAGATCTCCACGTTCAAACCCTCTTATCTCTTGGGTCTTTCTTGGGCGGGGACCACGACTACTGGATACACCAAAAAGCTTTTCCTGTTGGCATCATGTGTGGTTGCGGCGTCTGCAGCGAATATGATATCTCCCGAGTAAGTTATTTCTCCTCTTCCTCCATCCGATAAATATGAATACTTACATTCTCAACCCACAATTAGGTTCTGGCAACCACAATACAAACCGCGCTATACTTTGCCGTGGGCCTTCATGACAGCCTTCTGGTTCATCTCGCCGGGTATATGTCTCGTGATTCGGTTTTATCTTGAGCGCGAGAATAAACGCCGCCAAATGTTACTCGAGGGAAATGGTAGCGAGGACGAAAATGAGATGCTCGATGCCGGTAGCCAAACTATCATGATTAACAATGAAGACTTGGATCAAACAGATCGAGAAAACCTGAAGTTTATATATCCGCTATAGAATCGACGAATACTAAGTATATTCGTCTAAGGTAGAATGGCAGTATATATTTAGGCACCAGGGGCCAGTCAACTGTATCGTATGGAAGTATCTGAGCAATCCCTAACAATGTAAGCTAAAGACGAGCCGCTTTTTATAGAAACGTTGGGAGGTAGCAAACTTGAACTAAGCATCAGAATGTAAATGGCAACTGCAACATGTCGACATTACGACCTGTTGAAGCGGGCACTACTGTTTATGTTTGTTACAGGGCTGGTTAGGAAGTAGTAGCGACATCATTGCGCGCGAAAAGCTTTAAACGGGTCTCCATGGAAGGGGACTTGTGAAAAAATGAACCACTTGTATTACATAGGAAGGAGTACATGTAGTAATTCAACGCCGTGAGTAGTCATAGTATGCCCCTACCTAATGTATTGGGGGTTTGCTCTGAACGTGGGTAAAGAAAGAACAATGTCACCGTTTTTGTCTGCGGCAACTATAGCAACCTCGATACTACTGCCCAGTTAACCCGGGTTCTGTACGCAACTGCCCCGTGAGATATTGTTCAGGGAGATAGATAATAATATCTAACCAGACCAAAACAAAGCAATAGATCCCGATCTATTCGCAACACCTAAAAATACGCATCCAGGTCAACAACAACTTCGACCCTAAAAAAATCTCCCTTACGCAACAGCATCTTCCTAGCTACACCTTTACCTAGGAGCACGAATTCACTACCAAGACCTTTCACTTTTCCTTCGATTCATTGCCAGATCAGTCATCTAGCAAGCTACATTGAGCTGTACTCCTCCCTCCCAGAACGTACTCGCAACAATGGATCCCAACCTCGACGTTGTCAAGCGGAGTTTTCGCACAGATGTGCTGAAGAGGAAGGTCGTCAACACCTCTGCCAAAGAGCCTTGCTCGTGTGGTCTATATCAATACTACAGCCATAAATGTGGTTGTATTTATAAGAGTGTACACTTCAAGTGTGGCAAGACTACCTCGGAGAAGACAGGCGACCGAATTCTCTGCCCGTCCGGCCGAGGCCGAAAGATCAGGGTCAACAGTGCCATAGTCCCCTTCAACTGCGCGCAGTGCCGCAGAAACGGCAATCGATCAACGTACTAAGGTTCTACCGAATTCCTAGCAGCAACGGAATTATGAGGAGGATGAACATGGGCTTAGAGATCGAGTCATGGTTATAAGATAGATGCCCTCCTTTATCTTGTATCTCCAGCTTCGGATGATGACATGAAAAAAAAGGGGGGGAGGCGAAACATCTATCTACACAACATCAACACTGCGTTGTATCATAATCAAGAAACCCATATGATATGAAATTAGGCCTGAATAACATTATGTGAAAGTACACGCCGAAATAAAACGTAGTTGTAACCTATTTAACAAACTACCTGGGTTGTAATTCGAGTTACTAATCGACTTGTTTCGTATCGTTTTTCGCTGTGGGTACCTGATTTTGTGAGTGGGTTCAAGGTGAGGCGACGTCTGGAGGTGTACAGTACATGTTTGTTGATATTAAATGTAGGACGGGGGAGATGGGTGGGTTTTGAAAGAAAGGGGGATGTATGGGTCTCTTACCTTTTTAAAGTACCTAGGTAATGTATGAATGACGTAATTGCTAGATCTGAAGTGCTAAGTTGGAACCTTTTTATGTTACGGACCTTTTTTTCAACAATTTAATTTCTTGATTGGTCGATTCTTCCAACGTACTGCTTCGACATTTGCCTCATATCCTAGCGAGCACGATTTAGCATATCCATGAGATCGGTTTACTTGTTGCGAAAGTCGCCTATTAATACTCATTACTTTGCGACGGCTTCATTGTGCTTGCGACCCCCCACCCGCTCTTTATCTTATCGACGCAATCAACAATCCAGAATGTCACCTAAGACCCAAGAGCCCGTTATCAACAAAGTCTCCGAGTTGCCCATTGACCAGGCAAAATGGGTGACTCTCAAGAGAGTTGACTACGTCGACCAGGTCGGCAAGCAACGGACGTGGGAGGTAGCTACACGGAAGACGCGGGGTAAGGCTGGTGTCGATGCGGTGGCGATGGGGAATATTCTCCTACACCCGTCCCGCCCGGCTTCGACAATGCTTGTTATTCAGTATCGGCCACCGCTTGACTCATACACGGTTGAGTGGCCTGCTGGGCTCATCGACGCCGAGGAGACGGCTGAGCAGGCGGCGGTGCGCGAATTTAAGGAGGAGACCGGATACGATTGTCGCGTACTGAACATCAGCCCCATACAGGCAGCAGACCCAGGTATGAGTGACGCGAATATGCAGATGGCTATGGTCGAGGTGCAGCTGAAGGAAGATGATGAGGAGCCGGAGCAGCGATTAGAGGATGGAGAGCACATAGAACGCGTGGTTGTGCCCCTAAGCGAATTGTATGATCGGTTGGTTGAGTATTCTAAAGCTGAGCGAACTATCGTTGCGGCCAAGTTATTCCATTTTGCTGCTGGCATGCATTTCGCACAGACACAAAAGTATTTCTAATGGATGGTCGAGCATGTTCTTTGATGTTAAGAATAAATGAATATATTATTATTGAGTTTAAGCGTCCTAAGAGTAAATAAGTATGATGATATCATAATGGGATTATTGTCATCAATTCCAGGTCCCAATATACATAGTTTGGTGAGTAAATCTAATCTCCGGTGGTAAGGTACAGCGAGGGCGTCCAGGCACCCTTACAAGGCACCTAGGTACCTAGGTAGGTAGTACAATTATAATTCCAACCACTCAGCTGACCCCTTTCGAAAACGTGCGCCCAATTTAGGTATCATAATTTACCTAGGTATCTACCTGGGTACAACATTATTTAGCTTTCGCCATCTACATACAAGGGGAAAATCCTCAAATCAACAATTGATGTCTTAAACTACACCGAGCCGGAAGTACTAACACCACTAGCCCTTTTTTACCTCACAGATTTTAAGGGTATTGATATTATTTATCTATATCTAAATAGCCCCGAGCGAGATTTTAGAACCCATGTCGTGGCTTGATGAGCCTTAGCAGGTTCGTAACCACGTGGGAGGGAGAGTCAAGAGAATGTCACATTCACAGCTGATAAACAGGGACATACCTATATGTAATTGAATATGCCACCCCACCAGCAGCGAATATTCAATGTTACTTTGGGTTTGATATTCACTTGCAGCATTCTCCTTGCTTACTTTTTGTATTCTAGCTTCATACAAGCAGAGCCGATTGCTGCCATGCATTCATGGTCATGGCCCTCACTTCTCATGTCGTCCGGCATACCAGCGGTTTTTGCGCAGAGCATCGACTTGGGGTGGTATCCTCCAAGAAACACCTCCATTAATAACCTGACAGCCGTTCTCACGAGCCAAGGTGTATATGGTTTTATCTTTAATTCTTCGGAAACTCCAGATACTGAATATGGAACATACAATTGGTGCAATATGCCTCATGTTCGAAAATCAGAATATGTTAAACCGGCAACCGAGTACGAGCTGAAATATGTTGAAGTGGTTAGTATTCAACCCTTTGTTAGGTGATTTGGATGCAAGCGACTGAGCCTAGTTAGATCCAAAGACATCATAAGCGCACGCCCTATGCGAGCAACGCATTTCCGATCGAATCTTATAATTGGGACTGTGACGACGAAGGCCTATATTATTTTGGGCGCCCCTTCGGTAGCGGTAGCGGAAGTGGCGACGGCAATGGTAACGGTGGGAAACAACCCGCAGACGGCTTTTGGAAGGGATACATCTCCCCGGTAAATCCCTACACACCTTCTGGTTGGATCGGAACTTGCCAGTTTCCTCAAATCACTTCTGCTGGGCTGGACGACTCTTGGATCCACGGACAAGACCTTTATGAGGTTTACCACGACTTGCTTGGATTTTTACCTAGCAGAGACAAGGATTGGCGAGCCCAGGTAGCGTATCGCGTTACCCAAAACGTGATCACGAGCCAGGTTGCAGGCATGTTGATCAATGGCATGTGGAGGACAACCGAGTCTGTACCCCTCATGATCCAGGCTGCCGGAGTGGATAGTCTCGAGCCACAGTATAGTTGCAATGTAGGCAGTGACCTGTTCAACACCATCAAGTCCTCCTCCAACGTTGCCTGGCAAGATCATCTAGAGGCCGCTGCAAGTTTATTCAGCACGCTAGACAATATATCTGGCCTGTCTCCGAGTGATTCTGGCTTCCATGTCAGTTTTGATCACTATTTCGACAACCTTTCGGCGCGGCAATGCCACGCGAAACCATTGCCATGCAAATTAGAAAACGGTGTCAATTCAACGACATGTGTAGATCAGGTAACAGCCGACGCTGTGTATCGCATGGGGCAGTGGGAATATTCCCAGATATACCGCGATGCTCCTACTTCGCTCGCTGCATCTTCTACTTCCTATGGTGTTTGGATTGCCGAGCTCAGTGAACACCTGCGAAATGTGATCTCTAATAAGGAGGGGCCTATCTATTTTCACAATATTGCACATGATGGATCTTTGAGTCGACTGTTGGGTATATTACAAATCGACATTATGGTGGTGAGTGAACTGTGTTTACTTGAATCGCTAATTTTGAAGAGCCATACTCTCTCCCTCTACCCGTGAATTAGTATCTAATGGTTCTCATCTTCCAATTTTTAAAAGGCGGAATTGCTAACACGGGATTGCATAGTGGCCTGGGATGGGTAGTGAGGTGATATTTGAGATATACAAACACAACGGAAATACGACCGCATCTTCCGGCCCGGGTATAACGCGTCACGACAAGGCCAGTAAAACTCAAGCGAAGAGAAGAAGCGACGGTGAGTACTTCGTAAGGGTCTTATTTGGTGGTAAGCCGCTCAAGTCTTCAAGTCCTAGCCTTGGTATACTCGATATGGTGCCTGCAGAGACCTTACTCGTGTATTTCGATGGCTTGGTGGGTAAAAATGCTAGCTTAGTCGTTGGTAATTGTAACGGGACAATATCTGTGTAATAGTATATCGAGACTTAAGACTGGTGATTGGGAGCCTTGATTATTTTTTCAATGCTGATTCGTACTCAACTGCTTCTCTACGTCGTCCCATCTGCCTGCGCGCATTGGATCTAGTGTCCGGACTTTCGTCAACCACTCGGTGGGATCTTCGATCTGAGTGCTCCCATTTCCGAGACCCTTAAGCGCAATAGTATACTCGAGAAGAGCCTCGTAAATCCGTTTGGTGTCCCCATAGTCTTCTAGAAGATCTTTGATGTTATCTATTTCCTTCGCTATAAACGTTAACCTCTCATCGATTGCTAAGGCTGGCGCTATAGTAGGTTGGCTAGAATAGTTGACGATCTGCGATATTAGGTATTGATGGTAATACCAAAGACTTTGGTCCTCAGGGCCGACGTTAAGCGCTTCTAGGATGTTGCTAAGCTCTTCCTGCAGGAATTCTTTTCTCGCTATATGATCGGCACCGCGCTCTTCCAGTAGACGTAATAATAATTGACTTCGATTATGCCAGGCCGAGAAATTGGATAGGTCAGTACTGATCTTTCTAGTCGTGTAGGCGAATTCATCCTCAACCATGCTCCGCCCACCCAATGACGGAGACTCTAACGAAGCCACCACATATCTCCTGTAGCCCCATGCGTGGAAATTACGTTGATCTTTTGCCAACATCTTGGACGTCAGGGCGAGCTCGGCTTCCCAAAATTTGCGAGCATTTGTCGCAGGTAGTCGGATGTTGGCTTGTTCGAGTAGCCACCTACGATATTTCCAAACCCAATAACATTTGGGGAATTCGAGAAGGAGAGGAATGATAAATGCCATTTCTGACTGAAGGACACCGGCGTCGGCCTCGACGTCCTTTTCTCCTTTACCATCAAGTGAAGTACCACTCTGCCCAGTTGTCGGGGGGTCTCGGTCTCGCGGGGTCGCATCCGAGGATGAAGGTGATGAGTGATCTGAGGAGGGATTGGTAGTGTCGCTCTGAGAAATACTCGGTAACGCCCTCGAGAGCGAGGACCCATCCGACGGTGCGGAGAATAATCCAGAGATTAGACAGCGACGACGGACGTTCCATATTGTGTAGTATTCAGGATTCAGGCGAAGCAACTTGGAAGTAAGTTGGAAGAGGGTTGTGTCGTAGTTATTCGTTGAGACTTGGCCACGGATGGACTCCTCAAGCTCGCGATATTTCTTGATCTTATCTAGGTCTCGTTTACGATGCTCTTCGGTTCGGGCGGTTCGAGAGGTGCGAGCTGCTCCGTGCTATCTTGCTGCCCATTAGTTATATATACATTATCCAAAGGATTATTATTGTAAATATTAGCAAAATCATCTTACACTATCCATATTTGGAGGGAACGGAGAACCACGCCTGGGATTAGGCTATTTATTATTTAATGAGTAGTGCGAAATGATGGATTATATATTACATGTAAGTGGTTAGTTTATTTATTTGGACCTAAATGATGGTAGGAGAGAAGATGATGACGCGCAATTAAATCCATAAGATACATGGGCTAGCTTTAGTGAATAAATATCGTATAATCGCAAAATACGCAAGCCTTATGCAACAAGAGAGTTGAATTGCCGTACTGCACTTGCCCTCCGTATTGGACTTGTGTAGTAGCGACAATCGGTTACTTCCCTACCTAAGTATAAGAAAGAACGATGAATATTGCAAGTCTAAGTTTCCTTCGGGTGTTCTGTGTTAAATAATTATGATTTACCTAGGGTTTCATATATTTTTCAACGTTTATATACCTACATGGAAGTAGTCTTCTTGATTATTATGAATATATACCCCCTTACTTTACCATGTCCCTTCCCTTCCCTTTCCCTCTTCCGCTTCACCCTCCCTGTGCATCTTCTAAAGATAATTAAGTAGGAACATAAGCTATGAAGCAGCGTTCCTTGATACATATATAGTCTGGTAGGCACTTGTCTTCCTGCTCACAAAAGAACTGCAACTCCCACATCCCATCGTATGATCGATCTTATTAATTCCTATCATTTCTCTCTTTTCTTTTTACCTAGGTAGACGATGGCATAAATAGGTAGGTAGCTTTCATCCTTTCTTTAACTCAACATGCCTATTGCGTCACCCGACCGATTTGTACCCTTCTATATACCGCTCCAAGATCGGTTTCGAGCCACCAAGCAAGCCCACGAACTATCACCGTTAGAACGGCTACATCGTACAGATACTGCCGCTTCTGATGTCTTCTGTTTCACCCCAAAGCGTTCTACGCCTATCTCCGCCCGGCTAACTTCTCGGTCGGATGGAAATGATCGACGTGTCGGCACCGTCCTACGATTACATGGTTTAGAGCGCCGCCAGATCAGTAACGGCGCCGTTTGGTCCGTTGGTGGCCTGGTCCCCGGTGGTATTGACGACGGTCGTGGTCGTCGCGTAAGCTCTGGCACAAATGCTCGCCTATACACCACTTCGTTTTCGAACACAAGGCCGAAATCTGAAGAAGAACAAGATAAACATGAAGGAAGGTTAGCTCTAGCGCTCAAAATAGATCGTGTCCAGCGGATGCTAGAGTTCGATGGATATTCTACATTTCCTCGCTGCAAGTATAAAGGCAAGCCATTTCTACGAGAATCCGGGACCACATGGACTGGAAGCGAATGGAGCAATGACCAACATGTGCCGAGTACGACCCCCTCCCCTTCTTAATGACTGAGTGAGACTAACGCAGATATAGAGATAGTAAAAGAAGAGCGATGCCTTCCTAATGCTCCATTTAAGTGCGTAGGTTCTTCGTATATGTAACCTCTGTTGTTGACCATTGCCAGAGTCTTAGATGCACCAGGTCTCCGAGATGACTTCTATTGCTCCATCATGGCATATTCTCGAACATGCAATACTTTGGCTGTCGGATTAGGCAACCTCCTTTATGGGTGGTCGGAATCCTCAGGCGTCACGCTTCTAAATGCTGGGCTCAAGGATGGATCGTGGTTAACCTCGGTGGCTTTCTCGTCTGACCAAGGTGGCAAGTCAATACTAGCCTTTGGTCGCTCAAGCGGCTTGCTTTCCCTAGTATCGCTCTTCGATAGCCTGCTCCCTCGCTTCGAAGCCTACCACCCCTCACCGATAGCATGCCTTGCCTGGCGCCCCATCACGACCCAACGGCCCTCTTGCAGCCGACGTAACCCCGGCGTCATTGTAAAGACGGAAGACCTTCTCGTTGGCGACGACATGGGTGATGTATACTATTATTCGGTTGAGTGGCCCGAGCCCTAGGAGGTGGCTCGAGAGAATTGGCGCGGCGCTATGACTTTACTCGTACGCATCAAAGTTCACTCACAACAGATATGTGGCCTCGCATGGTCCCCCGACGGTGAGCAGTTCGCCACGGGAGGTAATGATAATCTATGCTGTCTCTTCAACATAGACGGCGTCGCAGACGTAAGACCCTGCGGAAACGTGGGTCTCTTCGAGTCATCAGCCGTCAATCCTCCTGGCAACGGAGGACCGTATACAGTAAATCCAATAGATGGCGTGTCATACTCTCCTATTCAAGTCGGATTCGACTGCCCTAATCCACTACCGGCCTTGAAGGATTTACCAGCTGGTTCGGAGAAGCATCGGTGGCGCCACGGAGCAGCCGTCAAAGCGATTGCGTTTTGTCCATGGCGACAAGGTTTAATTGCCACTGGTGGAGGATCCAATGATAAATGTATACATTTCTTTCACACGAATTCAGGGGCGGCGCTCGCTACGATATCGGTCGCGGCACAGGTTACATCCCTTATATGGAGCACGACTCGACGGGAGATCGCAGCGACTTTTGGGTATGCACAGCCTGATCACCCGTACCGTATCGCCGTATTCAGCTGGCCAGACTGCCGGCAAGTGGCGGCCGTGCCGTAGGAGGGCGAACACCGTGCATTGTATGCTATCGCATACCCCAGGGGACCGAATGATACGTACCGTACAAAGGAAAGATTGAGAAGTCGGACGGCCGAGGAGGGGTGTATTATCGTGGCTAGCAGTGATGAGAGTGTCAAGTTTCACGAAGTCTAGGTAGCAAGCCGCAAAGCGACGAACCTCGGCAGTGGTGTCTTAGCTGGGAGCGACATCTTGGAGATGGGAGAGGGTATCGACAAGGAGGGTGACGTGATTCGTTGACGAGGGAAAAGAAAGAAATGGGAGAAGGGCCATTACTAAAAGCATAGAATTGTTTGGTAGTGGATTAGACAAGCAGGTAGGTCATATCGAAATAAAGTAGAATAACTCATATTTCCTTCTGATTACCAACTATAGAAAAGAGGCAGTAGAATCTCGAGGTAAAGATATTAGATCCATTATAGGGTGTATCAGCTATGTAACTCTAATAGTAGAATATTTCCTTCACGGTCTGGAATGTATAGTACTTACCTACCCAGGTGAACGGTACTTGAATATCTGAGATGTATAACAGATAACAAACAAACAAAACAATGTTTTCTTTTCTTTTCATTTCGACTTTATTCTATTATTCTTTGTCAATCGTCAATTAACGATATATTCTCCGACCGGTAATTCCGTATACTTGATGTAGAGGTAGAGGTCAAGTGATAGGGCTTGGGCTTTATGACAAAATGACGGAAAATGTTCGAGGGTTAGTAATTCCTTTAGCCTTTTATTTCAAGTAAACTACTACTAATTTGGAAGCTTTGGCTTGTTCTATAACGGGGGCGTTGCTTTATAAGCTTTGAAGTAGATGCAAATGCATTAGTCCATTTTCGGTTCGGTCACGTTCCTATACTCCAGTCATTCACCGGTCTCTGATATGAGGCAGTTGCAGGATAACATGTATGTACATAGCCTCCCCGCCTTGACCCATGTACGTTTCCATGGATGTATTTTAAATTGCTAAGGCAGATATGTATATATGTACCTCTCGTAGGTAGATACTTCCACTACCCGCTATCTAAGTTTAACGTAGTGGGTATATGTAGGTACAACTGCCTTAGATTAGGTACAAACGCGTGTGTACCTAAGCTTATCGGTGACCATATCAGCGGCTTCCGTCAGTGTGCAAGTCCAGTCATTTGTCTGATCCGATTTGGGTCATCAAAGCCAAATCACCTGCGCACTTACGAAGGTTGCCTTGAATTAATATACTGCTACATGTACCTAAGGTAGGTACATTCAAGTATTAGTTGCCTTCCTACTGCCTACTGCCTACTCCCCCTACTCCCCCTACTCCCCTCTACTTCCCTCCACCCCCCCACGTAATAATTCAACCCGTGCCCTTCAACCTAAACCTCAACCAACCTTGCCAGACCAAAACCAAACCAAACCATCCGTCATCATCATCACCATCTCCTTCTCCCGCATCGTTCATCTTCTCAACTTTCTTCTTCATACCAGACTCTTTTTCTTTACTTGATTAACTTTGATAAATTGTCCCACATCGTATATCGGTTTACTCTTTTTAATTAATACCAACAACCGTTATTAGATACCGTCAAGATGCGATCCAAGTTTAAGGACGAGCACCCTTTTGAGAAGCGCAAGGCCGAAGCCGAGCGCATCCGTCAAAAATACGCCGACCGCATTCCAGTATGTATTTCTTCACTCATACATTCATCTATCTCGCTCTGTTTATATGTCTATGAAGCTTTGTATCATTTTGTCCGCTTCAAAATTAATCTTCTACGTCTAACTATCGTGGTCACCGCTGTTATTGTCAATCTGCCATGCCCCAACCCCTCACACCCTAATCATTTCGCCATTTCACCGCTTCGCATACCCCTCCAATCCTGGGAATTCGTTTTCTAACCTCTTATTGCAAATTAGGTCATCTGTGAAAAGGTTGAGAAATCCGATATTGCGACCATCGACAAGAAGAAGTACCTGGTACCGGCAGACCTTACCGTGGGCCAGTTCGTCTACGTAATTCGAAAGCGCATCAAGTTGTCCCCGGAGAAAGCCATCTTCATTTTCGTTGATGAAGTCCTCCCTCCTACTGCTGCTCTTATGAGCAGCATCTACGAGGAGCACAAAGACGAAGATGGGTACGTTTCCCTCCGTTTAGCTGAACCCTGTATTGCATTCGCCGTAGTCGCGATCTAACAGTCTACTCCTATAGGTTCCTCTACATAACCTACTCGGGCGAGAACACGTTCGGTGATGCTGCTTAACCTCTGGTCTTTCCCGAATTTCCCTTCTACGGCGTTATGGTTTTACTCGAGGGCTGGACGACAACGATGTGATTACTAGTGGCGATGAGTTATGGATAGGGCAGGCATAATCATGACAGAAGGTTGATAAGGAGTCGCGTCTCCCTGCTATGGTCATGCCACGGTCCTAAAGCTGTATTTGACGTTAGACGCATTTCTTCAGCTTCGTATTATCAATATCAGTGTGGCTTCTGCCTACTAGCCCGTCTTTGTGTGCAAACCCTTGTACAAATTGTCTAGATTATCTTGTTGCTCTAGGATCTAGCATACAAGAAGAGCCACCATCCATCGTTCGCCCCTCCAGTCGCCCTTTTAATTTGTAAGGGAAATCATCATGTGGAAATTCCGAGTCCCCTACTCAAATCTGCAAGTGTTTTTGTAACTGCTTCGGTGCCATCTATATCTATGTGGGTCGATATATGTAGCAAGTTGCTCAAAATGGAACAGGCATGTGTGATATTTGGTCGTAGTACGTATCTACGAGTCACAATAACTAAAAGAGTTATTCTTCTCCGTCAAGGAACATTTAATAGAATGCTATGTTGTGATTGTTAACATTCTCTAATTGTTCCTTTTCTTATAGAGCTTGACTATGGTTTCGTATCTAGTAGAGTGTTGGAAAAGGAATCTCAGAACGAATGCCGCAGACGAAACAGCATATATGGATACTTTATAGCGTATCGAATTTATGTTGAGAAGCGGATAACCCGGACGTTATATGGGGTTCTGGAGTCACTATTGTCATACGTTAATATTAGCTAAATCAGGTACATATTTACATATATTTGGTCGAACCTGTACGCCTCACGAATCACAACCACCTTGAGAATACCGACGGTGCAACAATAATTATAATTCATAACCGCTTTTCTATATTATGAGAGATGCTACAGCCCCGGTTTATAGTTGGATGTGAGGTTACTATGGTTATCTACCTAAATATCCAGCTACGTATCAGGGGTTTTTGAAGAAATCGGTGGTAAAATAAATTTCATGTCACTTGAGTGAATATGCTCAAACATCAAATTTGTTCTTGCAATAATCTTTTCTTGTCCACCTACTCAAATAAATGAAGCTCTTGGCTGGCGTTGCTTTACTGATGCCTCTTCCCCCAATTCTACTTGTACCGATAGTATTTTTGCTAAACAATGAAAAAACAATAACAACAATAGGGGTAGTAGGTTTCGCACTGATCACAATGCAAAGGCAAGGAAGGGAAAAGAAGTAATATCGTACAAGGGGTGATTTACTCTTAGTAATCACCGGAATCAACCACAATTCCTTTAACACAATTGCATCCACGTATAAAACCGTCCATCGAGACTCAAAGCAGAAGGAATAACCGTCAACCAACGCCGATTTTTCTTGCCCACTCCATAAAGAGTAGACGAGTCAAATGAAATGTTAAAATAATTAGTACGGCGCTGTCACAAAAACATCAGTCATAGGTGGGAATCGCTGAAGGCCTCCGAACCTCCCCAAGTCCCAAAAATGCAAATCCTGAACGTCCAGCCGATGTAATAGTGCGTATGAAACAGCCGAGCCAAGATCGAACAACAGTACAGAGTTCCGTAGCCAGAAGAGACGCCGGTATGCTTGTTTTGAATTTTGTTTTCTCTCCCCTTTCTCTTTTTCCTTTTTCGATTTGAAAATATGGTCCCTTGGGACGTTAGGCATCATGCTGGATTTGTCTTTACGCGCTTTTGCATTCTAGGCGTAGGTGGCTTCTTGTTAGCCATTCCAACACCATTAACTTGAGCACCCCCGATACTCACGGGCGTCGGTGCGCCGCTTTCATCTTCGGTTTTGACTGTCGATGGCCGCCTTCGCTTGTTGCTTGCTGGACTGGTATTAGCGCTTGGCCCGCTTGAACTCGTACCCTGCTGACTTTGCTGTAATTGCATGCCTGGCGCTTGCATATGTCCTTGAGCGGGGCTGCCTATATGAGGTGAATTGGGCAGTTGCAGATGCGTAGCTGCTGGTGAAGCGCCCATGGGGAATTGGCCGAAGCTAGGGGTTCGCGGATTCGGTGGGCCGTTGACCTGGGGTTGGCCGTTTATTATCGGTTGTTGCGGAACATTGGTAATATTCTGATTAACATATTGCTCCAGAGCGACATAAGGGGAGCGGCCGGGATGAGTGTGGTAGAAATTGAATAGCGGCTAAATAGATCGATAGGTTAGTCGTCATATTTGAGTTGAGAATCCTTTCTTTTTCTTTTGAAGGAGATGTAACAAGAATATCGAATTCTTCGACTTACATTCATCTGCCCAACGACTTCGATAATCTAAAGCGCATCATTAGTTCCATAGTACATTTTAAAACATCGAGATGAGAATTCGTACCTCGAGAAATTGGAACACTGCTTCTGTGATGCCTATGTTTTGTTTGACGGCCGACTGGGGTAAATCAATATCAGGAGGTGGGTTTGGCGGCGATTTCATTGACTTTGCTTTGCCCTTTTTGCTCATTTCCGGGGACAGCCGCGCGTCCCCTTGACCATTCACCTTCAACCACTCCTTAACCCAATTGTGTGCTGGCTTGGCCGCTTCGATCACCATCTTTCGAGAGTGATACTCTTCGTGACCTTGGGTAATGAATTCCAATAGCTCAAGTTTTTGTTCGCTGTCGAACTGCGCTCTTAAAGTTCCTGTAGCTACGACCTGGTCATGGCTGTCAGTTTTACTTTTGTGCGACCGGGGCAGAATAACTTACATGGGAGTTATCGAACCAATAGGTTAGATTTGCCTTTTGGTTCTCGATGAAGTGGCAACCGTTTGGCAGTGGTCTGTCAGTAATGCCCTTCTCGAAGGTCAAATTAATTCTCCTAACTCCGCTTTCGAAATGTGTGTGAAAATATCGTGCTAGAGCGGGTTGTGTTATCTCGTGATGCTTGTCGACGTGCTCCTCGCTCGCTATATTGGTATCGATATAAAATAGAGAGATTCTGAAAACTCCCCTTGGCGAGAAAAATTGCGCTACAAAATTATTCCAGTATGTCAAATCGTCCCTCATTCTCAATCCCTGGGCCTTGGCGCAGCTCGTTAGTAATTGCCTCCAATTCACTCGAGGAGAAATAGGAGGGTCTGGAGCACGAATGAGCAAGATGGAATTGGTACTAACTGGGTATCCGCTTAGATGTTCACCAAACTGAAGGAGTTTTAGTAGGCAATGGCCCTTCATGCCATCGTTCTTTTGTTGCTGTTGCTGCTGTAGCAATTGCTGCTGTATGTTATTCGTGAGCTGGAGATGTTGACCTGCCTGAATTGTCGGCGCAGTAGGTTGTTGAGGTGGATTTTGCGGACCATTGGGAGGCTGCGGTTGATTTTGCGGCGGTTGCGGTTGATTTCCTGTTGTAGGATTTGGTCCTTGGTTTTGCGTTTGGTTCGGCTGCGCAACAGCTGGCGTCGGGGCTCTTTGAGGACCTTGAGTATTCGGTTGTGGTTGCGGGCCTGGTTGCGGGCCGGGTTGTTGCTGCTGTTGTTGCTGCTGCTGCTGCTGCTGTTGCTGCCCTGGTTGTGGCGGTTGTGGTTGTTGGCCTTGTTGCTGAGGCTGTCCCTGAGGCTGAGGTTGGGGTTGTGGTCCTTGACCTTGAGGGCCTTGAGGGACCGGATGCGCCATCGACTGTGCTAACTGAGCCTGCTGGAGTTGGATTTGTTGAGGGTTCATATGAGCGGGGTGACCGGGTTGGTTGCCCTGGTGCATTTGGTTGTTAGCTTGCTGCTGAGCTTGCTGCTGTTGTATTGCTAAGTGCTGTGTAAGAAGCTGTGAGTAAAAAAGTAGGGTCAGCGTGGGAGTAAAGAAAATGGGTGATCTGCTATGCGTGGAAGAATATTGTTACCTGTGCTTGTTGTGGGGTTTGGTGCTGTCCTTGCTGAGCACCAAGATGCGGCTGGAGATGTTGGGGTATGCCGACTCGTTGCATATTGGCATTATTCCTCATGGCTTGATATTGGGCTACGCTCATCCCCTGCATGTTCATAGGTATGTTCTGGTATATCTGTTGCTGTAGCATCGCTTGCCTCTGCTGCTGAAGTAATCTTTGTTGTTGCTGCATCTGGGCCATTACATGAGGATTTTGGGCCACTAAAAGGGTACACGTGTTAGCAATACTTGAATATATATCCAACGTTTTGATTCTTAGAGGATAGGATAGAGTAAGAAGGGGGAAAATGGAGAAACGATAATCAACGAGGGAGGCTAGGAGAATTTTAGCTGAACTGACTTGCGAACTGTTGTTGCTGAAACATTTGTTGCTGCTGAGGATTCAGGTGCTGCAGTGCGTGAGCATTAGGGCCGGCGGCACCAGGAGGCATGCCTCCCATCATAGCCGCAGGATTGACCTGCCCACCGGGGCCGGATACCGACATTTGAGCGGCCATTTGGGGCGGCATTCCTGGTTGAGCCCCCGGTTGGCTTGGGTTATGTGCCATGCCCGGAGCACCCATGGGATGGCTCGGGTGGACACCAGGATGTTGCTGCATGCCTGGATGAAAACCACCCGGTCCTATACTTGCCATCATTTCTACTAGTGTCGATTATCCACGCCGTGGATATCGACGTCAAACTAATGATTCCTGTTTCTCATACGCTTTTCTTCCGTTTAAGCCTGGCCGCTGCGAGTTTTGATGTGATGCGATCGATCGATCGACTCGTCCGGTCAAATGTCTCTTTTTTTTTTTTTGGCAGCACCGTCTCTTGTGATTATTCCCTTTTATTTCCTTTGTCTTTCTCTTTTCTCCGCGAAGGCCGAATCTTATAAGCAGCTTCTCCTTTCCTTGGTAATAATGTGGATATGTTAATACGGCGATTTGATGTAATGCGATCGTCGATTGGGGAACGTATATCGTGTCTGGGTTTCTGATGGTGTCGCGGTGACGATTAAAAGACTTGTTTCTAAGGAGCGGCGAAATTGGAGGTCGACAATCGTTGGAGGCATATAGCGTGTAATTTTTAATGATAGAGAAGTGAGAGTGATAAAAATATGGAGAAGGCTGAAAATGCGACTTCCGATTAACTATTGGTTTTTTTTCTTCTTCCTGACTCTTAGCGACGCGGCAGGATAGAGTTCGGTCGGTTGCGCGCCACACGCAGGCACAGAACCTTTTTTGGCTGTTGTAGCTCTCTGATTAATAAGTTTCGCGGGATGCGCTACCCTAGATCCTGGATTTTACACCAGATCGATCAACTCCCATCAATACGCCGTCGGTCGGAACAATTGACCAAGTCGAGTTACGTCGCTGTCGCTGACTGTCGTTGTCGCGCGTGGACAGACAGGGTGAAGCGGAGAGACGGACGAACGTGCACGATGCGATGCGGCAAAGGGGGTCCTGAAGCCAAGTGGGTGCAAGCTGTTGGCGTCGCGGGATTCGCTTCAGGTACCCTAGGTACAGTGTATATTGCACTTCCTATACGGTACGATACTGTACTAGTCCTGCTCAGGTAAGGATATGTCGCTGCGTATCGTTATGCGTAGCGTGCGAGCGCGTATGTAGATATGTATACAAGATTGGTAGATGTATGTATGTAGTAGCTTATTTAAATAAATCCGATATATGAGAAAAGATAGGTAGGATTAGTTGGTTAGTTATGTAAACTATTTCTTTTGTACTAGGTCGATCATGAGTGACGACGTCGGGCGATCATTTTTGATGGAGTTGTTAAGCGGATGGTGTGTGCAATGATGCAGACGGCGGGTAGCAGGCTAATAAAAGAGGGCGATGGAAGAAACGAAAGGAAAAAAATAAAAATAAAAAAATTAAGCAACTAATGAGGTAGACGATAGGGCGAGTGTTACTGTTTGAGGACAAACGCACGCTCGGCTGGGCTGAGCAGCACGGATAAGGCGAAATGTAAGAAGGAATATGAATAAAAAAAATAAAGCTGCTGGTTATTCTCCGCGCCTATGGGACCACTTGACAATAGACGCCGCTTGGAACCAAGTACTTGGGTATCGGGGTTGAATTGCGCCGGGGTGAAGGAAATACCTAGTATGCTTGGTACAGGTGGCTTTGGGGTTAGAAGACCATAGACTTTGTAGTGCTCGAGATGATGGTTTTTTTTTTTCTCTTTCTCGTCAAGTTTGGCTGCCTGGGCGCTGTAAAGATCGACTGATGGTGGCCTTCTGTTGCGTTTGTAGCTAGCTAGCTACGCTCGGTAGATTTAACGCGAAGATTTAGTGACACATCGTACGGAGTACTGTGTAGACGATGTAGCCCGAAAAGTAATGATTAGTGAAAATGGGAGTGGGTGGGAACGTCTCTGTTCTCAATCAATGGGGGCGGGTCTTAGTTGAAGTGGCAGGTATTTGAGAGACAGTGTGAAATTGTAAGACAAGGGAGAGAGGGAAGGAAAAAAGTTTCCCGAAAATATCTTTATGCACTGTGCTATGACCACGTGCAGGGCTTAATTGCCTCGAAGCTCCGACTATCGCCGATGAAGTAATATTACATAAGATAGGTCTAACCTAAATAAGGAGTACACAAAAATACAATTGACCAGCCACCAGATGCGCAAAAGTTTAAACTACTGTGATTAGACGACACTGACACTGTGATAACATTAAGGAGATGGAAAAGGTATAAAAGTTACTAGTGCTCCATAAGTGTTACTATTTTATAAATTATCACGCAAGATATGAGAAACATTATGAAAAACCAACGACTTAGCAATAAGCATCCTGGCATCTTATAATAAATGAAGATGCATTTAATTGGATAAGGACATTAGTACTCGGGAGATCGCGGGTTGAATAGACAGTGTGAGAAAGGCTTTGGAATTCTTATTAGATAAGAAGAAAAGGTTATTACACACGGTATATTTTAACAAGGCTATTTTTAGTGTCGGCTCTTATCAGTGCCTCTGGCAGCTGGCAATTGGTTAAGATCAAGTAAACTCTGCATCACATGACTCTGAGATCTTTTGTCGGGTTAACTTAATCCGTCTCCAATTATTTTTAACATTAGCTTTTATGGCTCCATATTAAATTTTTTTTTCTTCTTCGCGACTTCAAAAAGCTTCGCACGCTTGTTCGATCTTTTAACCTTCACTTTATTTCCTTCTCATTTTCGCAACCCCCCATATCGCCGCCTTTCTCTTATTTTCCCTATTCAATTCGCGGAAGGATATGGCGGACTCTTCACTTCAGAATCTTCCGCGGTTCCAATATTGATCCGAGGTATGTCATTTTTTGATGCGCGAGACAAGCGACAGAATATTTCCCCCCCCCCTCCCCCCAGCTATCAGGATGACAACCTATAAATACGTCTTCTTTTCCCAACTGAGTCGACCATGAAAGAAACCTAGTCTGTTCGGGTCTTTCCACTTCGGTGGCAGCCTGTTACTTGCCAGTATACCTTGTCTGATTTCCCATATCGTGTACACCTCATTCTGTGATGGTTTCACGAGACAGGATGCAATGGGGATTGTTCTCGTCGTAGTGCACTCAACGTTTTGTTCCCTGCTAACCTGCGTATAGATATGTTCTTCACGTGTAACAAGTAGAGCACGTACACATAGTTTTCATTTTGGTAAGTTCAACCTTTTTACTGGTCTTAATCATTTGAGACCTCTTTCACTGTTATTTTTCCTTCACTTCTGGCATTTCGTATGATGAAAGTTCCAACCACATTCGCAGTTTCCACTCGAGCTTCACTCAGAGCCTTTTGCGAAGCAGATGAGGGCATATAACCTTCCTTGGATGTCTGACCTAAACAATGCCAATTCCCGCCTAAATCATTATGACCGTTTTATCAAACCGAATTATTGGCTAACCGCATTTTCATAGTGTTTTTAATTGGCCGTGTTGGACCTGGCGATAGACTGAGCGATATTTATTCGCGCGTGTACACTCCCAATCCACATTGCATTTGTTATAATGAGCTAAATGTATATCCGAAGTAAACTTAATTCCAATATTCCGTTTTGGACCTCATTTTTCTCGTGACCGTGATGCCCATCCTAACTGATGATCGATCCAACAAATCCCATGCCTCTGACCAAATTGCTGGTGTTTTATATCCATCGTTACATACACTAATTCGAAATCAATTCACCTCAACACCTTCGTGTATCCCTTCTCTTAATATACCGCTGATAGAATTATTCTTTTCCTGTCTCTTAACCCTCCCACCTACCATACCTCTTCGGTTCCTACCTGTCCGACCTCTTCCTAACCAATTCAACTTGAGTAATCGACCCAACTCGGCTACCATTTTGCTCGCTTCATCTGCACTATTTGCGTTGACGCCTGTGTCGACGCTTGCAAGCACACTCATGCATTGAAGCATACGCCCAACCATTTCCGTAACCTGTTTGCTGTCTTCCACGTTCTGCTCTCGCACACTACCCAGGATTTCCCTACCACCGCGATCGCTGCCGTCTCTAGTTTGCGGCGTAAAGGGTCTGAGAAGACTTCCGGTACCAGCGGATGTTGGGTCGGACACGCCGCTACCAAAGGATACATTACTAATGGCACGGCTTCGCGATGGGTTGGAGTCATTCCCGAACACTGTCGTAGAGGTTGAATTGTAGCTTGCAACGCTGGGGTCCAATGACATGGCTGTTCCAGGGCGGCCTGAGGGCCCATCACTTGGCGAAGTAGAGAGCGAAGCGACACTATCATTAAGGAGTGGCGGTGACGCCAGCGCAAGAGAAGCAAGGGAGGACGGTAGATGCTCAAGGGATAGGCGCGAAAAGATGGTCTTCAACTTCTCGTATCTAGGTAAGATTAGGGAATTCCGATATGAAATGAGCACAAGCCGTCGCACATCAAGAACACTCGAAGCTGGCGAGAGATGGGCCTCGAAATTTGGACCTTGGTGGTGAGGGTCAGGCGCTGCCGAGTCTGCTACTACGCCGCCCCAAAAGTCCCGCGCCTGCTCCGGCGTTAATATAGATCCGCAGCCGGAAAATTCCAAATCTAGGGGGAGGAAAACGGCCTGCATATAAGGTAGTATACTCGTAAATGTGAAGATCCATAACTCCACCAGCGAAGGTATTAACCTATCCTCGGGGGTTTTACGTAATGTATGGTCAAGCGAAGCGAAGCCTGTTGAGAGAAGATCTCTGAGATCGTCGATGATGATATGAGCGGAGCGACGTTGTATGCAGTATTGGATATGCATAGTTACAACGCGATTAAAATCTTCTACTGGCAATCGCAGGTCCTCCCCCTCGAAGATGACTAGTAGCTTTGCCCTAAGATAGGGCCAGGCATCATCGAGGGACATGTTGTGAAGGCCATATTTACCCGAATCGATAGGGTCAGAAAGATAAGAGTGTGTGGTAGCCGCCGCTGATCCCAGACTACCGGGCCCGGGCCATTCGGAACCAGCAGCAAAGGAGCCCTCGTCTTCTTTCTTCTTCTCGCGTAATGCGCGTCCTCCATGCCGTAGATCGAGACCACTGACGCTTTTGCCGAGATTATTGTTCGGGCCTGGACTTGGCGGCAAGTTAAAGTTGTATAAACTCGAGGGTGCATGAGGATCAACGGGCCGAGAATTGCTAGCAGCAGAGGAAAGCGGGAGATGATAATCATCCTTGCCACCTAGTTTATGTTTTTGTCTTGATAGAAAATGGTGTTTCTTTTCCTTATCTTTCTCCTTGCCTTCTATGGGCGAATCAACTGGCCGAATAGTTGCGGCAGATGAATTGCCTAGGCTATAGAACGATTGTGAATCCGCTAGACTAGTTGTGCTGAAGTTGCCGCGCTGTAGTGAGGCCAACGCAGAGCCAATTTTTCCGGGGCTCGGTAATGGTCGTTCTTTTGTATCGCCTTTGATCTCAATCTTTTTGGGCCGGGAAAATAGTTTTACTTTGGACTTTTCTGCCTTGGCGGGCTTCTCTGGGACCGCAGGGGCCGTAGGTGTAGATTGCTCGGGTGGTGGTAAACCTGGCGAGGACTGAGGCGATCTGGGAAAAACAACGTTGGCAGCGGCGGTGGCAGCGGCGGCATGACTCCCTAACAGTCCGTTATGATATCCCTGAGCAGCGAAACCATTATCTCTTGGCGCACTGGCTTCGGTTAGGCTTAACATTGGTGGACTGCGGTGGCCAGAGATAGGTTTTGGACCTGGTCTCTTTGCGGCGTCGTGACTCTCGCTCCCGGGAAAAGGGACGGTTTGCGATCGATGGCGGCTATGTTGCTGGTGCTGCATTACAGCCGCTTGGGCGGCAATCTGACTGGCCGAGAGTGAGCCTGCAGGTTGACTCTGACTCTGGGCCTGAGCTTGGGCTTGGGCTTGGGCCATCGCGACTTGTGATAGATTGGATGTGCTTGTAGAAGGCAAGGTGGGCTCAAAGAGGCCTTGGGTTTGCGAGTGTTTCCTTATGTGGCCGGCGCGAGCGGGTGGTAAGGTTAATGGCGAGGCGGTTCTCGGTTGAGGAAGTTCGAGACTGGGTCTAGCGGTCGGACGAGAGAAGTTATAAGGACTATTCGCGTAAGATGGGCTTGCGATGTTAGGAGAGTGAGCTGAATTAGAAGGACTCTGAGGCCCTCGCGCTTTAGGAATGGAAATGGTATCGTCGCTCGAAGATGTATCTATCCTTCGTATTTGGGGTCTTGAAGAGGCGGCGGCTGCAGCAGCTGCTGAAGAAGCTGAGGAAGAGGAGGCTGCAGCTGCGGCTGCGGCGGTGGAGGCCGAAGAGATACTTCCGGGAAGGGGAGAGAAGCTCCCGGGGGCTCTTTGCTGGGGTCGTACTGGTTGCATGGTCTGATCGAAACGTCCCAAGTTCCTAGTCCTTGTTACATCTTGCTTCTCCTGTGATATATGTGATCAATGATCGGCGCCAACTAAACCACTAACCCCCTCCGAGAGGTATGGATTTGCGTTCTTCGGTTCGTCGCAATGTCACTATGGTGGTCAATCGGACAGCTGACGAATACGTTTATCGGCAATCGTGATACTAAGAAGATGGATGGTATAATAACAAGAAAAAAAGAGAGTAGGATCGAGGTATGTTCGTACAGGGATACGGACTAGTGTACATGAATAGACGTAACTATAACGGCACCCTAGTTTAAAGAGTGGAGCAGTGGAGTATATTATCATAAAGTTTCCCCAAATTATGCCAATCTGAGATGTCTTGTACTTAGGTACTTAGGTATATACCCCTCCATTGTTGAAAAGGTTGAAAAGTCTCGTCATTCTAAACTTCAAGATCTTATTAACTGCCTCTATACATACGTGTATATAGGCAAATAGAGAATAGTTTACTACATCGCAAGACCATAAGATACCATTCACATATAACATAGTATTCATCCATTGGACCCGATACTGAAAAAAAATGACATTCTCTACTTCCTCAGCCACGGCAGGCTCTACCACATCTTCTACCATAAGTCTAACAACGCATATAAAAGCAACATATACCAACTCAAGATCGACTCGCGGCACCACATCATTGGAATCCTCTCTATCCTCCACTACAGGATTCGCACTCTCATTGCCACTCTCTCTCCCCAGTACCGATTCGACAACAGCACAGAAGACGACCTATCTAAGCGAGCTACGAGAAGCTGTGTCGTCGCTACAGGAACGCATGAACAGCGAATTAACAACGAGGATGGAGGTTGAGGCAAAAGAGGCGGCTGCTACCATATCTACCACCTCGAACGCCAAGGGCAACAAGACTGTTGGTGCTAGCGCCGTCGACGAAGCGGCTGAAGAGGAGAATTATGGCGAGGAGGTAGTGGAAGGCGATGAGGAATAATGATAGGCCAATCATTACTCGTACTACTAACTATACAAAAAAGATGAAACCCCATCTACAGCACTGGAAACTGAACGACATTTATATTGCGCATACAATGATTTCGAACGACGTTGGATTGCTTCTCCCCAAAACGTGAGAAAGCGATATCAATTTGACAACAGTCTGGATACGAGGGGGTATTACCCACTAATCACCACTACTCCGATGGCATGCGATGGCGCCTATATCATGCCTATAACCCCAAAAAATTGAAACACCCCTGATCCTTAGTATATGCGAAACCCCTATTCTCCCCTTGCACCATTAGCACTAGAGCTGTCCGCCCCTTTATCGCGTGCCGTTTCGTTCTCGAAATCTATACTAGCAAATAGGAAGACTCAAGCTCAATCAACTTCAACCGTGTCTACCCCACGATCCAGTCATACGTTCCGTTCGACTGCCGCTTGTGCTGCGCCCACGTCTCCCTAGACATCCATAATGGACAACGCTATTATCGGGAAGCACTGCAACAACACTGTTGCCTAGCCTCTTGTGGCAGACACCACACACCCTTTCCTCGCTGATGGCCACTCTTCTGCTACGTCCTCCCTGGCCGCCGGGGATACCATCTCCGAGGAGCAGCAGCGCTTGTGTGTTTACCAACTGCGTCTTTCGTAACCCCTCGATAATACGTGATTCTGAGACTAGACTATTAGCCGCACGCATGCGCCCTTGGAAGTACGATTCGAGTTCGGCTACGGGAAGGTCGTCAGGTATGAGAGACAATGTCGACTCTGCCGGTAGACGAGAGCCATGTCTGGAGAGGAGCGACAAGGCCGGTTCTAGGTTGGGTTTATTTGGCGGCGGTGGAGTTAGGTACAGGGAAAGGAGCATGTGATAGATCGAAGGCTTCGAGTCGGGATCACGATCATCTTCGTCCCCTGATGATGTAGCAAAAGATTCTCGGCGAGAACTGGGGAGCCCATGTATGCGGTTGCAATACCTAATGCGCTTTGTAAGTAACAATTAACAACTGACAAGGAGTTTACGTACTCTTCAGCCTTTGCATAATCCTGTATGTTAAACACGTAAATCTCGAGTGCCTGCTTGTGTGAACCCATATTACTGAAGACGATAGCTCGGGCCTCGTAAAACGCCGGATCTCGATATAAAATTAGCTAATGCTCGTATATCCGTATACTTATAAGGTGACACTTACCATCGCGAGGAATTATGCTCAGCGCTCTGCTAAGACTGTACTGCTGACTTCCTCTTAGGAAGACTACTAGACTGTCTAGCTTTTCGTTCCAGGATTCGTCGCGTTCGCCTTCTTTTAATGCCTGAATTAGTAGCTCTACCAGTCGATTATGGAAGTCCGGTGTGCCATCTTCTAACTCCATAATAATATGTTGAAGATATCGAATCTCTAGATTGACGTGAATGGCGCCGAGGTACCGAACAACCTTCTCTCGTGGCAGAGTCTCGGCATTTTCGCTATCCACAAGGAATATCTCCATCCCCCGGTCTGGATCGCGCCGTAAGACCCAGTCCGCAAATTCGAGAATGATATCAATCATCTCTGGTGGGAGACTTTGTAGGTATCCAACCGTCCTCTGCGGGCCACGGAGCTGTTCAGGTATAACTACCTCTGAGTCTAGATGGCCGTTAAGGTCAAGTTTGGTGGGTTCCCTTTCCGCTTCCATGTCCCCGAATTTACGAAGAAGAGTGAGCGCTTCGCGATGGAGCTTCTTTCCGTAGAAGAAATCGACTAACTCATTATATCGATTGTGTTTGAGCAAGTGCTCATTCACTACAGCCGGATCGCAGAAGTTCGGGATACGGAACAAAGACCCAGCAAGTGTAGGCGTCACAAACATTAGGCCACGGAAGAGAGCTGTATCGACTACGGTGAAAGTCTCTTTGAGTTCTTGTTCTAGTTGCTCATCGGACTCGGAGTGAGGGTGTGTCAACAAGGCGTCTAGATTCTCATCTAAACTCATAGATGAATCCGTATTAGTTGTCGGTTTCCTTGGTTTTAGCTTCCCAGTGGCCGGGTCGATCCATCGTTGCAAACGCGCTCTTGTGCCAGCTAGATAACTGTTTAGTTCGCGTACTGCCTTGACGAGATCTTTCCCTTCTAATGGGCCGTCTTCATCCACTACCTGCTTCTTCTTGGTTGAGACTTTTATGCTGGCTGCGTCTTCGTTATCGGTACCGGCCCTCCTGGATGACGCGATTGAAGCTGCATCAGAATCTGTTTTGCGATGTCCCATCCAGTACTTGGCGAAGGCGCTGGGTCGAGATGGGGACGCGACGGGGGTATCAGCTTTTGCCGCCTTTTCGCCATTAACCTTTTCGTCCTCATCCTCATCGTTCCCCTCCTCCTCCTCCTCCTCCTCCTCCTTAGTGTCTTCTTGGGGGGATTCCGCAGAAAGATCTCCGGCGATTATTCTAGGGTACAACTTCAGTACCCTCTGGGGAGGTGCATGTACCTCATCCTCATTGAATAATGCCAGACTGTCTGAGAATTTCTTCTTTTTGAACAACACTTCTGCTTTCAACATCTTCGCCTCACGCATAGTACCAGTTTTATCTTTTAGCAATGCATCCTCAAGCATACCGAGAACACTTATAGCTTCATCATACTTGGCCCCGTCTACCAATTCTTGCACTTGTGTGTCATAGTCTGTTGCTTCCATCTTCCATATGGCTCGCTCACTACTAATGTGGAAGCCCTTGCCTGCATGAGCAAGACTAACAGTAGGCGGTGGGAAATGTAGCTGTGCAGCACCAGGAAGTTCTATCGTTTGCAGTAGACTAAGGGTTTCTGGATTCCGTACTTCCAAGGTACCTTTGGCTGGCGGCTGAAGGGCTAAAATGTAAGGGTAACTATACCCAATACTCTCAGGCGCGCTCTGCCAAGGTACCTGGCGTTTCTCTAAGGGCTTTCCGTCGGTATCGACGAAGAGTGAATTGATATCCTTGGCGAGAAGCATCTCACCCTCAGCTAACCTTGTGGCGAGCGGCTTCGGCATATATCCACCCAGTCCCATATAGCCCATACTCGCAGCGCCAAACCTAGTTCCCTGCCCACCAGTTGCGGCAGCGCCAAGCCCTACGATCTCTTGCGTTTCGGCGGTCGTAACATCGACAAGGACGTATCCTGCGTTCATACCGCAGACAACTTTAGTCGCATTTGCCCAAGTCAATGTCCTGATAGCTTCGGGTAGCGTAATCTCGATCACCTCGTCGTGCAATTCGCTCTCATGCCAACTCCATAGTAATAGCCGCCGTTTTACGGCCACGGCGAGGCGACTGATAATCTCCGGGATACCCGTGGCAGCATCCTTGACAATATTGCTAGTGACAGCAAAGCAGGTGGCATTCTTTGTCCGCGCTATCGTGTCCACCAACTCATAGGATTGCAGGTCATGTAGAGAGACATGGTAGTTGGAGAGAGAAACGAGGGTATTGGCTTCTTTGATGATGGCGAGCTGCTCGATAGCGCGTGTCGAGAACTTCTCGACTTCTCGAAGGAGATCGGTGGGTTTTGATGAAGCAGATTCCGGATTCGCGTTCGGCTGGGCACTTGTTGGGGAGGAAGACACACCATTAGAGGCGGAGGAGGCGGGTGGTTGGGTTAGTTCGTTGAGACGGTATATTCGCAGCGAGCCCGTGTTCAGGCCGACGAGAACGCGATCGCCTAACAATCCAAAGAAAGGATAATTTAGTATTGGAGTACCTATGGTAAGCTATGAGAACTGAATATACGTACCATATGCTAATATGGCTTCTATTCGAGACTTATCACGCTGCTTAAGCTCGATGATGGGACGAGCCGTGAAAGCGGAGAGCATGGCCGCTCTAATGCTACCTTGAGAGGATGTTCATTGATTTAACAAGATGCGAAAATCAAAGTGAAAGCGAAAGCGATAAGTCCCTCGGGAGCAAGGAAAGGAGGCAGTTCGCTATTAGAATATAGTGATTACCTAGGTATATGTAAACGTATACACATACAAGCGCATGTATGCGTCTGGTGTGTATGTGTTGTGTATGGGGAAATGCGAAGTACGGTAGAGTTAAAATAGGTAGCTAAAGGCTACAAATGTACCTAAGGTAGTACATGTATGTCATCTGAACCCTTCTAAGAAGTTAAGAAGTTGGAGACTTCCATTTCGCATTTCGACAGGAGCTAGAGTGGATACCGATGGGTACATGGTACCTCGGCAACCTATGACCGCATTAGCCTTCAATCCAGGTCTAACCCTCATTGGGCAATAAACATTCGGGTCTTGCTATCTGATTGGATACGATACATTATACCCAATTTACGTTAGGCAACTTATAGACTTAAAGACAACCCTATAGCATTACACGTACGGCCTCTCAATTACCTAGGTATATATACATAGAGCGTAGAACAAGATCACCATTGAATACTTATGAGGTAGCACGATACTAAAGACGTTGAGCACTAGATACATCAAGTACCTGCGTAGATTTTTATTTACAGGGTGGTACAACATTTACAAATGCCTTGGATACATTCAGCAAGCCAAGTGCTTAGATATTGTTCACATCTAGGTGGTCAATACCGTCAACATGGATACTTTACATGCCAATTATCCGCATTGCACCGTATCCTAGAGTAACTACAACCGCCAAACTTATCAAACTACTTGGCACGCCACGACTAATGAAATGCTTGACTTGCAAGTATCTCTGCCCCGTTGCGTCCTCTTTCATTATCGCAGCTGCAAACCGTTAGATATTACCCCAATTGTCACCGAGAAAAAGAAGGAAGGCACAAAACACTTACTCATATTAGGAAAACCGCTCGTCGGTAGCGCCATCGCTGCACTGCACATAAGCGCCGCGGCCATGACGAGAAGATTAGGATGCGGTTCATCCATGTCCTTCCCGATATCCGACACAAGCGGTAGGATAATCAACGCAGCTACCGTGTGACTGATAAATGTTGCAATCACCAGAGTCAGACTTGAGAAAATCAGTAGGACACCGTACAAATCCACCCCATTCACCTCCTGGGAGATACCCTCAGCTACCGTATGAAGAAGTCCAGACGACTTAACGGCTTTACCGAGAGCTAACCCTCCCGCTGCGAGGATTATAATAGTCCACGGGAAATTGTTGAAGTCTTCCTTGGTGAGTATACCAATGCCGAAGAAGAGCACAATTGGGATGATAGCAATAACACCCATATCACCAAATGTTGCCTCCAGCTGATGGCTCGCGCACCAGAGCCCGATGGTGGCAATACAAATGGCGGACACAAACCATTGTAAGCCAGTGAACGGTTCCTTGACCGGTCTAATCGGCACGATAGTAGTACCTTTGCCGGGTTGAAATGTAGTGAGGAGGAGGATCCAGATAAGGAGTATCGATACGATACCCACAGGGATAACAACGAAGAACCATTCACCCCAGGTTGGCGCCGGTTCCATAATACCCAGTGCGACGACGTTCTGGGGCGAGGCGATAGGAGAAAGCATACCACCAATGTTGGAAGCGAGTGCAATGCCCATGATCACTGCTTTGGACATATTGGAACCCGAGGGGAGATTGCGCAACATCGGCTAAAAAGTTACTAGTTAGGATAGATATTAAACATCTCAGGGAACGTTACCGACCTCGATAATAGAGAAGCAGAGCACGGGAGCTGCTACGTTACTAACGAGCATACTCGCAAAAGCAGCCACAAACATGGTAGCGACAAGGACAGTACGCGGCTGCGTACCCGCCTTGCTAAGGACGAAAGTCGCAATCCGCTTATCGATCTTACATTTAGACAAGGCGGCGGCAATAGTGAAGCCTCCCAGCAGCAGCATAATGACCGGTGTCCACATGGCCGCGAATACGTAAGTAGTTGCAGCTTTAGAGCCTAGCCGCGTGTACGGCGGATCATCTAAACGGACGACGTTGAGAACCACACAGAGGAATGGTATCAACAGAGACGTCACAAAGAGCGGTATTGCCTAGAACGAGATCAGCTGCGCTTACAGCCCTAGAAAAATGTTGACATAACTCACCTCGGTAGCCCATAGCAAACTTACAAACACCAGCATAGCCAAACAGTTCTGCTGCTCGGATTTCTCCACAATAGGAACAAAGAGCATTACTAAAAATATAGCGATGATGCCAATAAGTGTGAACATAGTCGAGCTGAACAACCATGTCGGACAGGTAAAGCGTCCAACCGGTGTGTCAATTTCTTTCATGGGAGTGACAGGCGCATCATCACCTTGTAGCCTCAACTTGATACCGTCGTTCTGAGCACCCAAAAGGCCACTGCCGAGAGTTGCGGCCTCAGCGCGACGCTCAAGACCGATGAGTTCTCGCCAGACCGTGTTTCGTTCCCATACAACATGCTCTCTCAGGTGCGATCGTAGATCTTTCTTAGCAAGAGCCTCATCGCCATGCGTTACTACATCGGCATATGCCTTCTCCATCTGGGCGATATTTCCCTCGACTTGCCGGATTGTCTCGGGTAGAAAAGGATACGATGACTCGACGGTGTCCTCCATGTATTTCGGTCGAAATTCTTTATCGATGATCTTGTCAAACTTCTTAAGAACCTTACTAAAGCCCGTCTTGTTCAGTTGCACGTATGACTTGAGTTCGCATAGCTGTACGTAGAGGCTTATAATGCGTTTCTTCAGCATAATATCAGAAGAAAGCATTTGGGCAGCCTCGGCGTAGTCATCATAACCAACGCTATATCGGCGCGATCTAGTAAGATCGGTCGAAGCTGTGAGGTCGGTCGAGGCAAGCATCACGCTAGGAACGGTACGTCGTCTACCCAAACCGCCACCGAGGCTAGATCGACGCCTCCTGTTGAGGGCCGAAGTCTCGTCTTGATCATCATCATCACTGTCTTCTTCGACGCCATCGTCAGTCGAGCGTGTGCTGTAGGCACTCCGGCCGCTTCGCATGCTCTGGGCACCACGGGCAGGTTTAGCTTGCTCGCTAGCGGGCCGCTGCGGGAGCTCGGGTTCGTCGTAGCCATCTGACTCAGGTGATCCAAAGTCACGCAAAAGATCATCGACCTCGTCAAATAATTCCTTTTCCTTGACGCCATAAAATGATGAGATCTTCTCTAGTTCCACGTCTAACGCTCGGCCGAAAACGGTTTCGGGATCCTCATTACGCAGGAGTGGGCGGGTTTCGACATCGGAAACGCCAGGTTGGTGAACGGTCTTTTCGAGTCCGTAAATTCTAGAAAGGGTATATATGGTCAAACGGAATAATTTCACAATATGAGGAAAGGGTTGGGTGGGAATAAACAAACAGTTTCTTAAGGTTGCTATATGCGATATAATGACTGCTCCAATCTGGAACAGCATTAAACTGGATGCTATGAGAGAACTTCATTTCGTCGCGCTCCTCAAGCCACCGTCTCTTCTCTTCCCTCTTAGCTTTCCGCCGTAATTCTCTACTTGACAGAGGTTGATGGTTACGATGGGAATCGATAGGCAGCGATTTAAGTTCGTAGGTCTCTTCGTAATTGGATATTCCGCTATTACTCCCTCCTCTATCTCTATCCCCTGGCTCCGTTATGGTATGGCCGGGGTGGTGGGGAGCTAGATGCGCGTGAGCAGTGTCGCGGGATGAGGAAGAGGAGGGGTGCACCAGGGATTGAAAGGGTGCTATTGTGGAAATAATAGAAGAGACTTTGTTTTCCTTCTGGGTTTTAAAGTCCAATACGTAATGATGCAATTCGGACTATATGTGATGATCCACAACGGCGTCCAAACATGATTTTTTGGTAACTTGCCAATGATGATTTTTGTTGATGTATGTGGTAAGAAGGGATTCTCTCTCTCTCTCTCTTTCTCTACCTAGGCACGTTAGGTATTGATCCGCCCCCCGAACTAATAATAATTAGAAGGCTAATGTATGTACAGTACCTACCTGGGTATCGGTACCCAGCTGCCTACATATGTACCTAAAACACTATATCTGTGACAAATGGGAACCTTATTACAGGCCCACGTGAGGCTCTAGCTTCTCTTCCAAGGTTCTGACATGCCAGCATGCTCTCCACCCCACTGCTACAATGTACATACATATAACCTGATGTGAGCCTTAAATTCTATCACTATCATCACTAGTAGAAGTTCCTATTTCGCGATATAGTTTTTAAAATAAAATAAGGGTTAATACTTCGAAAATTCATGCATTAATATATTGGATTTTAAATAAATTAAATCATATTAACATTTTATAATTCAAAAAGTGCAATCCTTAAAATAAATATAATGAGGCAGGACAAGGCACTTAGCATGTAAAGAGATCAATACATCAGATACATGCATGCATGTAGGTACTAGTACTAACTGTATTTTAATATTATAGGCAGGCACGCTACCATTACTACTCTAAGTCCCAGGCTACATCTCCCAATTTACCTTCTCAACCGATATTAATACCGCCACACTTTCCCAACATCCAACACCCTACATCCAACATCCTACATTCTTCGTAAATCCAGATGTATCGGCATCCTTGGAACCGTCAGGAAGACGCTCGTCGAAGGGCGGCCGCGGAGGCGGGTCGCCAACGAGCAGCCGCGGAACGCCCCGTTCGGCCCCTCATCAATTCTTCTAGGTCCATCTCAGACGTGCCGACAAATGGATTGGGCCAGTTAGCAATTCTACCCAATGAAATCATCATAGTAGTCTTCGATAACTGCACTCTGCGTTCTCTGCTGCGGCTCGAGCGCGTGAACAAAGCAGCTAAGGATTTCGTAAACCTTCTTCACGATATTGAACATGTCAGGGAAACTGCGAAGGGAATTGTCCAGCGTGCCAAACCTCACTACCGCAAGTTTATGTTGACAATCTTAAAGATCACGACGTACCGTGGATTAAGATATCTCCTGACCAACTTCACCTGTGAGACTTGCGGCCAACCAGGTTCTTTCCGTATGGTCAAAGTCAAGGTCCTATGTGATACATGTCAATCCTCGAGGAGGCTAAATAGCAATTGACCGGGTTGAGGCATGATATCCAGCCATGGTTCGTTAACTTTGGAATGGCATGTTTATTACATGCCCAGGTACCTATTACAACTAACGTCAACTTATCAGATGCTACAACCAACCCATAATTTATATAACGATAAACAAAGAAACCTCCGGGAAGGCGGCAAAACCTTGTATGGACGGAAACCACACGATAATGATCATGAATGACGACGAAAAAAAAAATGATATTGAGAGTGACAATTCGGAGAGGATGGCAATTATGAGGTGTTAGGCTCTTAATTTCACTCTAGGTGGTTATTTTATTATTGTAACCGGGGAATACATGGTTACCTTCACAATTCTTTATCGGTGCTTGCTCTAATTAGTGGTCACGGTGAGTATCGTTGAAAACACCCAGGAGGATGGCTACTCAAGTTCAGCCAAAATCTTACAGGTGTAATGTTTAAGTAAGGCTGTCCTAACGTTCCATGCTAATTTCATATGCTTCGAAGGCCTACACCCTCTTCTTGATTATAAGTAACACCGCTTCTACGCATATTACAATTTCCTCTTTACCCTTTTTCTCATGTAGAAGTTGTTCCACTCTCCGCCTGATGATTCTTGGCACGTCGCGTTCGGTGCCGACAGCATCTGGATGTGCCTCACGCCAACGAGTTACCGGACTCGAGGTTTTGAGCCGGTTTTCAAAATAATCCAATGTGACAGTCCGCGGACCAAGGCCGGATTCGGCGGCCTGGTCATCCGATCTTTCCTTCGTCCATTCTTCACGAGAAGACTTGCTTTCATCGAAGTCCAAAACGGGCTCATCCAAAGTCCATGGGAGAGGAAGATCGACATAAAAATTCCCAGCAAGATGGTTCCCTCGTTCCTTATAGGGCTCTAGGTACTGCTCCTTGATCTCATCTATAGCCGCCTGGATAGCAGCGTAGTTTGGCACAGACGAATGTATGGTCAAAGCCCTGGTGGTCCAAATGGCCACGGTCCCGCCAGGTTTGAGTACCCGCGCCGCCCGGGGCCAGAACTTAGACAGGTCAAACCAGTGTGCGGCCGTGGCAGCTGTGATCAAATCGACACTAGAGTCCGCGATAGGTGGGAATAAGTTGGATCCAAGATCCTCCGCCGCCGAAATCTCGAACCGGATTGGTTCCGATGAAGATGAGATACCTCCAAGAGAACGAGCCGTGCTAATCATGCCGTCCGAGGCATCGATGCCAATGGCGTGGGCAAAGTGAGGAGCAAGACCCCGTGCAGCAATCCCAGGGCCACAGCCAACGTCGAGGATAGTGTCAAGCTTGCCACCCGTTGCGGTATGCCTGTCAACAACAATGCGGTAAAAATTCTCGTGGTAGTCAGCACGGCCCCGTGCGTATGCCGCTCCATCCTCGGGTTTGTACGATTTGAAGGTCTTCTCCGCCGCAAACGACGCTGTTGTAAGTACAGAGCTGGCCATGATGGGGTGGTTTAATTAATTCATTAATGTGCCGCTCGAAAAAAAAAAAATTTAAGGACCTGGTGATTGACAGGTTAGACTGTGTTGTTGAAAGGCATCCAGTGGTTAAACGGATTAGTGCTACTATAGCCATGCTTCCAGTCACGCCATTCTAACCACATATTGTAATATGACCTATTGTGAGGTAGTGTAGCGGGTTATATATCTGCCCAAGTTTGGCGACATTGCCCGTTTAAACATTGGATATTAATTTCGACCAGCTTGAATAACCCAACAAAATACCAATCCAAGAAGCTTAAAGGAATCCTACTACTTGATTCTTCCAAGGTCCTGAATATATTCATTTGCCAACCAAAGTTGCTCTTTTGATATAACCTTATACAACCATTCAAATTATTTCAAAGCTATAATTTCGCATGCAGTATGGAAATGACGAGAGCAAGTGACGAGAATCAGTAACAGAACTTCACTTCGTTACCAAACCCTTCAAGAGAGTATTGTCTATAACATATTCGTAGAAATGCCTCCCTCGATACTATGTTCTTTCGATATTTGTCTCTACCTACTTAATCAAGTTTATCCAACCTAATCACTAAAAATAGACAGTCCATCTCCAACAAAGAATTCTAAGAATGGCTACAGACATTTAATCAAGATCTTACATCAACTATTAAGTTCCTTCCTTATATGCGATCTCCCATTGTACAAGAAGAACAAAGCTCATTCTAATAGTATTATCTATACTAATAAAGATACCCTTAGTTGGATGGGCACACACGACTCCCCTCGCCACGTTGTAAAAAGAATGCTTGGTTGTGTAATGGGTTACCGACAAACACCATGAAGACAAGGACTTATGGTCCCTCGAAAGTAGCTACCAAGGTTCTCGGGTATAAAAGCGCCTTGGAGAAGCATCTAGTTTCCCTATCGACTAACTATCAGAACACCTAAACAACAAATTCACACTACAAGACACCACAAGAAACAACATCCAAGCGCATCTAATACGCTCATTATCAGCAATGGCATACAGCAAGAACATCGCCTCCAGGGGAGCTAAGAAGCCCATACCTCTCAAGAAGGGTGGTCTCTTCGACTTTAGCGACACCGACGATGGCCTCCACGCAAGCAACAACTCTGGATCGGGTAGCTGCTCAGTTATGTAAATAACCAACCTCTCTCCACCGAGATGAACTCTTATGAGAACATGAATTATGTGTATCACGTCAGATATAGGGGCGGTTCGAAGGATCGTTGAAGGGTTGGATAACAAGGACGCTCTTTTTATTGCATTCAAAATATACCAATAGGCAGTCAGTCACTCGTTACTTTTCTCGACTATTTAATTGATTTAATTGGGTTTTCCGTTGCACTATAAATTACACTGTCAAGTATCTATCATGGAAATCTCGTCGTCCGCTAAAGTAGTTGGTATCATGGTGTTTTACGCCCACCCAGGTACGTTTGTAAGTTGTAATATATTTATGATATCTAAGTAGAGTATTGTTGCTTCTGAAATATGAATTGACAGGTATGGCAGTAATCCTCTGGCTTTTCTCTTTTTCGGCACACCTTATTTATTTGATGCAAGTGAAATCCAAAGCAGTCTATATATGTCCTCTTACCTAACAGTGCTAGCGATCTTCTGACATATACTTCGTCTTGACTCGGTGTAGGGCTGCGAAATGCCGAATGTAGTAATACGGCACGGGTTTATTGTTACATCAACATGCAACAGTATCAGTACAGTAGGTACGTCAAGGGTCCAAAATCTGCGGAGAACCAGCGGCCCTCACTGTAACTTTCCTGTTGCCGATGTGATGAGATTTCTATTTGAGGCCCGAGGCTATCAAGTATGCGACCAAAGAGGGGCCGTTGTATGTATCAGGACGGGATGCGAGTAATAAGTTTTCTTTTCTTTGTCCTTGTCCTTGTCACTGTTCTGTATTCCTCTTAGTCAACGTTGAGATACACCGACGAGGGCTAAGCGTTGTACAGCATGACTTGTGCAGATTTATAAGGTCTGATGACCGCATTCTGCAGAGACGATTGTCACGATTGACAGGGACTGGAGCAGCAGTAGTTTTCCGAAGAAAGTCGGTCAAGAGGATTTAATACGGGATAACGATGTAAAGAGATTCGTATGGGTATCTGCATTTAAATAATTATTACCAAGTTTTTGTTTCTTATTTTATTTTATTATAATAAAAAAGAATAGAATAAAAGGTATATGTAATATATTTACCTAGGTATGTAAGGACTTGAAAGTGACGATGTCTTAGTCGGGGGTTAATAAAGATGGCTTAATATTTAGGTACACTTAAAATACCATTAAAATTAGAATAAATCGGGTTGACTGTGGGGAGCTATGCAAGTACTAGAGACGTACATGTACAGAAAACCTCGGTGCAATGTTAGCTACCTAGGTACATATATACGTATAGAAATCCACATGCATGTTTTTCCTATCATCTACCTTGTAACGGACCATGGATGCTACCTGTATGTTTTAACGATCTGGATGCGCTGGCAAGACTAAGCAGGGATGAGCTGCAAACTATTAATTTAAACCCTGTAAGAATTAAGTCCCGCGAGTGGTTTGCCGGTAATAGGAAATGCGGAGGGATGAATATATTTTTCTTCTTCTTTTCTTTCTTTTACTAGAGAATACGTAGAGGAAGACTTGACGATATATGTACCTAGGTAGAGGGCAATTTGATTCATTTGGGTATATAGGGTATACATGTAGAAACTTGCACAATGTACTGTACATATGTATATATCATATTAAAATTCAAGTGTTTTCCCTTGTAAACTCTACCGCACGTGTATATAAGTACCTACTTATGTATAGTACATACATCAGTTATGTATGTAATAATAAGCTCCATTGTGCCTTCGGGGTCCTTGCTCCTTGCTCCTACCTGTTCCTGTCGCTTATTCCTGACCAATCGATAGTATACCGCATTAGGCGAACCCAATTCTTTTCCCCGAATAAACCACATGCGTTTCTTATTTTATTTTATTTTTTCTTGTTTCTTCCCACCTCCAAGAACAAACAAAGCACTGCACCTCCTTTTTCGTGATACGGCATACGTATTCTGCTAGGCATATGTATACCGGCAAAACTCCGTTGCATACACATTGTTGATGGGGTCGTTGAATCATTAAGAACTGCCACTGATGATGCCTGAACGACTGCATGACGGCACGCATGCATAATGCAAGGTCGGAAAACCCCCATCCTCTAAAGACAGCAATCCTCAGCGAGGCAGGGACGTACACACATACCAGGGTTACAAGTTGATATTGGTATTCAATTCTGTATGAATATAATAATAATAATCGACTACCTAGGAAGCAGTTGGTTCGCTGACTGTATCTAAGCTCTCTCTCGACCTAGGTATGCCAACCAACATCCGATGGTACGACCATCATCGCTGCATTTTTTTTTTGGGACTGCCCCGAACATTTCGACTTATTTGACAGGTAAGCGGTTCCCTATTCTGTCTATCTTACCGTGGATTTATCTCAGACCGTTTTTTATTATCCACAACACTCCCTACTTTGATACGTGTCTGGATAAGGCATAACTATAGAAACATACATACATATTATATGCATTTTCCCAATTTTTAAAGACTGGTTCATACTTCGGTACTTATCAAGTACCTACTTAACGGTCTTTTGATCGAAGTTTGCCGGCTTCTACCGATCTACTGGGCCTGCTTGAAGCTTATTATTAGCCTCTGCGCTGGTGAAATAGTAAAGGTTCAAAGTAGTTAATTGATGACATACTACACGCTATGTAAGGTACCTACCTAATACAATATGTATCACGTAGGTCTTATTTATCTACGTTCACCTATCCATCCACCGATTTTATGAATTCTCTTATGATGTGTTACCTTAATCATAGTACTACCAAGCTGTAAATTAAAATATAATAGAGCAAACATGTAGATGAGAGTACAGACGCGTATGCTTCATGTTCCATCTCGTCTCGTATTATCGGCATCATGATTACCATCATCGTTCTTCCATCCCCACTTTATTTTCTTTGATTGGCTCCATTTTTAGATGGACCATCAACTGTACTAACCATATCTGGCAGTACTTGATTCAGATCCCCTTGTTTTACTTTAACTTTAACCCCTGGTATAGACAGCTCTTTCTACATTATATTTCTACATTTTTGCGTTTCTAGTTAATCCATAATTAAAAGTTAGATTTAACACTTAAGCTATTCTTAAGCCAGCCTTACTACCATCACCGCCCGACTTGGCTGTCACTTTTACATACCTCAAACAACGTCCGGGAACTTGGAAGTACATACATAGCATCCGCTATCTGTAACCTTTGTGCGTGTTCCATGTTCCCTTACTACGGTTGACCCGCAAGGTACGAGAGGGGGCAAATGGTTTCTGGGAGCGGATAGCCGCGTACTTGGCGAGTGGGCGCCGTGGATTCGACAAGGATACAATAGAAAAGAAAAAAAAAGCTGTACTAGGGTTGGTTGTATGCCTTAGTGGACCACTCACACCTTGACCTGGCACACAACACACAGTTCACAAGCTCCCGCCCCCCCCCCCAAAATCCGCATTGTCTATACCTCTACACCCACATACCTAGCGTGTCTATGCATGTACACACCCATCTCGCAAAGCTTTGAAGCAAATCCAAACAGTTCAAACCCCTGTCAACGAAGAGAGCTGGGTTACCATACGGCCCCCAGCTCGAGCAAGTCAAGGGGGGGGGGCCAACCGAGCCGGGCTGTTCAAGGCAGGTCTAGCGCAGGAAAAAAAAGAAGCACTGCAGAGGTGTGCATGCGCGCTTGTGTACCTGTTGTATGGGGTTTGGTTTGTGTAAGACTTGTGAGAATAGATAGGTTTTCCCATTCCTCTACGTACATACATGTATGTTTTTTTTATTCTCCCCCCCCTTTGGCTCCTGCACTACATTGACTTTATCCGTCAGTTTCAACCTTACCTTTCTCGCCGAGAGTCAGAAAAATTATCTCGCTTCGACGTCGTCATCCCCTTCTACTTGTTCCTCTTACTTCTCTTTGTCATTTTTATGTGTTTCTAATGAGAGAAGTGCGCGTTGAACAGGAAGAATATACAAACGTCAGTGGAAGCGGTAAAGAGAATTATAGAGAGGGAGAGAATTCGAAAGCCGACACGTTATCAGTATCTTTTTCTTCTTCCATAGCTTTCGCGACGGAGAATACCCGAGGTGTTGTGGTGTCGTTTGCTGGTGCTAGTAGGCCTTACCCATCCTACTGCATTATCCCCATACCTACCTAAGCACTACTAGGTGGGTAAAAAAAAAACACCGTTGGGCGACCATGGATTCGAGACAACCGCCACCACAACTCCCTTTTGCTCGCAACGCTGCATCACCACCAGCTTATGCCCGATCGCCCTTCCCACCCGCTCCTAGTTCGAATTCGACAGTAACAGCAACTTCCTCGCCCTTTCATCCCTCACATCCTGCATCTGCAGGCCCTGCTGCCTACAGCGAACATCAACGTCGACTATCCGACGCGAGTCCTTTTTATCCACAGTCCAGACCCCCTTCCTATGCGCCCGAGCCTGCATCGCATCCTGCGCCTACCCATTCGCGACATCAAAGCTCATCGTCCATTAATGCTTCCTTATCTCGAAATATGCCGCCTCCCTCGCCTCCTCAACATCCAACGCAACAGCCGCCAGCTTCTCATCCCGCGCATCAAATGGGGCATTATGGCGGTCCACCTGCACCGAGGGCTCCGCCTATGAATCTTGGCCCTCCAAGCGCCTTCCCTTCCGCTCGGGAATTGCCTGCTCTCAACTCTATACCTCGAACAGGAAGCACGGGAGGAAGCATGTCAATTTCTTCGATGCTTGGTGGACCTCCAGCTCCTCGGGAGCCGACCCCAGGACATCCAACCACTTTCCCACCTCCCGTCACTACTTCTGCTGTTTCGGGACCCGCATATGCTGCGTCCGTCCACGCGTCGCCTAGGATGCAGGCTGCAAACGAATATGCTGGGTATAATAATAGGAGACCCCAAACGCCTGACCAAGGCAGACCGTTTGATTCGAGAGATCCCAGGGGTAATGTGGCAGGTTCACCACCGCAGGGCATGTACGGAACTCCCGAGTTATCTCGATATAGTACGCCGCAAGCATACCCGCCACGAGGCCCGCCAATGCCTCCGGCTGAAGAGAGGAGAGAACAGCCGGCACGCATCCCCGTCGCTAATGTGCCGCCTAGACCGAGCAGTCAGCCTAGATCCTATCACGGAGTTCCTCAAAGATCGGTAGACATGGGTAGAGGTCCACCACCTGGGGATCCCATGTACGGCAGGCGAGATGAGGCACGACAACCCGGCCCACCGGAGTATAATCCAGATCGACCTCCACGAGCTATCCCCTACGAAGAACAGCGCCGCTTCGCTTCTGATCGAGACCTTAGGGAACATATGAGCAGAGAGGCAGAGTTTCATAGGGAAAGGGAACGTAGGGAAAGGGAGAGAATGCATTATGAAGAACAGCGTCCATTTATGGCTGAAAGAGAACGTATCGAGAGGGAAAGGGAAAGAGATCGCGAGGTAGAGAGGGAGAGAGAGCGGGAAAGAGAAAGAGAGAGGGAAAGAGAAAGGGAAAGAGAGAGAGAAATGGAGATGCGCGAGAGGGCTAGAAGAGAAAGGACTACTTCTGATCCAAGTCGCCCGCCCGGCCAGCATACTGCAGAGCTCGGCACTCAGGTGCTTTCGCGACAGCCGCCTTTCGGCAGACATGACCCTCGAGACCCAGCTGCCTGGCAGCGACCCGGTTACGATCAACCGCCGCCAAGAGATGCGTACGGTCAGGCCTATCCCGGTCCCCGACAAAACGAATTTCCCCCGACGACCGCCCCGCCGTACGGAACGCACCCTGCTTATACGCAGCCTCCTCCCCATGAACGCTTTCCGGTGGCTGGTCCACCTCCCCACACAATATCTGTGAGCCAGCCAGGCCCACAACCTGCACATCCTTTCGGGTCTCCTGATAGGCATCGGTTTATTCAGACACATCCTCAGCAGCAGCAGCCTCCTCAGCCACCACAACCACCGGCAGCTCACCGGGGCCGCCCTATTGACGAAGGGCCGCCTCCACCGTCAGTTGCGTATAATGGTGGCCCAGGTGCAGCTTCTTTTGAACCGGTCCGGCCACGTGTTATGGATGACGGACCGGCTCCTACGGGACATCAACGAGGGTTTCTTGGCATCCAGGAGATCAACCGTAAAGGAAGGGTGTCCCCACTCCCACAGGCGGTGCAGGGTGCGCAACCCCAACTGCAAGGCCCTGCAGGTGAGCCTGGGATTAAGAGTGAATTCGGCCGTATGTTCTCTGGCATAGGAAGCGGAGTCCGCGGTATCGGTGTCTCTAGCCCAGTGCCATCTGGCATGCAACCTCAGTTTTCTAGTGCGGGCCCTACGCGACGTGATGATGAGCACCTAATCCATGAACCACTTGCGGAGGCGCCTGTGAAGGCAACTACCAGAGGGAAGCGGAGGAAAGCTAAGGATGAAGATAGCAAGGGTGACGATGATAGTACTGGTAGGATCACACCAGTTGGCCGGGCTAAGCGTCCCAAGACTCATGCTCATCACCACCACCACCAGTAAGTCATTGTTCTTATCATATATGCGCTTCGGCCGGTATTCATTGTAATATTTTTTTAGTCATCATCATCACCATCATCATGGGCCGGAAAGGGCTACTTCGCCCTTACAATCAGCCAATGGACAGCTAAAAAACATTAAAACTAACACACCGATACCATCTCCAACGCTCAAAGATTTTACTACTCTTACTCATCATCACCAACCTCCCAGGTCAGTCGCGGCTCCATCATCGAAGTCGGCGGCGCCTGGCTCGACGATAATTCCGAAACCAAAACACAAGATTTCGTCACAGGCCGTTCTTGACAGTGTTGCGGATCGGCCGCGAAAACATTTGGGTGACGTTGTGTACCAAGTTGTTCTGAAGCCCGCCAAACTAGACTCATCGCATTCTAAGTTCGGTTACTCGTCGAATCCGCGCCCCCTCCCTATAGATACCATCAAGGGCAACGAAAACTCGACCTTGACGGTTAAAATCCCACGTGTGCATCTGAGCCCACCTGCCCGCGAGGAGATAACTGCTCGTCGGGCCGTTTGGGGCACGGATGTCTACACGGACGACTCGGACGTTGTTGCAGCATGTATCCATGCAGGCTGGATTCGAGGCGAATGGGGAGAGGACGTGGATGTAGATTTACTCGAGCTGTGCAAGGCATCAAATTCCAAAAAGCAGCGTACAGTGCCTACCGAGCAGCACCTCGAAGTGTTAACTTCGCCACCGACATCTGGTCCTGCTCAAGTTCCCGCAGATCGCGATTTGCATGTAACGATTCTAATTCTACCTGCGCTCGAGAAATATAGTAGTTCGACGCGTTATGGTATGCAGAGTCGCGAATTTGGCGGTACATATAACGGGCGCAAATCAATTCATGACGGGATTAGTTTTATGATTCAAAGTGTGCGTTGGGTTGATGGCGCAGCGCCGCAAAGTAGACTTCGGGGCAAGGCGCGCAGGGAACGAATCAGGAAAGCAATGAGTGAAGTCAATCGTAGCCAAGTGGTGGACATGGGCGAGAAAGAATTTTTGGGTAAGACGGTAGTAACGAGGGATACTGGTACCGGAAAGGAAAGAAATAATAGGAAGCCGGCCGACGGCAACGGGGAAGGGAATAAGGAGAATCGTCCTGCTGCCACTATGAAAGACGCAGCTCGCACTACGGACCAAGAAAAGCGCAACTTAGATGGGAGCCCAGACTGCAAGGCTAGGGAGAAGAGTGGTTTGGCGGAAAGCCAAACTGTTACCCGCGGGCCAGAGAAGCGTGGCGAGGACGAGTCGACTAATGTTTCTGCTTAGGAATAAGCGGTGGATTCGTCATAAGAGGAAAGTGGTATACCCGGTTTGTGGAATAAACGGAACGTGTGGTCAAGGTTAGGTATGGGACTATGTATAGTAGGATTTGAGATGGGCGGTACTTTCTTCGTCTTGACCCCTTGCTAAGATACCAATCTATTCGGGTTCTATGTTATTTATCTATTTATTCACCATTTTACGTAGCATAGCGCGGAGTTGTGAACAAGACTATCTATCTACTTACGTCTACTCTGGTGATTTCCATCCATATTATAATAGTAAGCCTATAGTTACATTTATATAAATTTAGGTATCATAATACCATATCTAATAATTCATATCCTAAAATTATTGGACATGACCTCATCAAATAGAACTACATCATAATACGATGGCCACCTGAGTATATAATGATGGAATCCCACCAACCTACTAATATAGTCTTTTGTGATGGGTTATTCCAGTAATCTCTCTGGCCTGGTTCGGAGAGTACGAAGATAGATCTATGACCACAATTACAGCTACGACAATAACTGTATTTGTATGTTTTAACAATGTAGCTATTTCCCTTATTCAAAAGTCGGTAACCCGTCCATTGAAACTATAATCGCCGCCCGCCCCCCAACGCAAAGGTTCATTCTTAGGACCGCCGACTTCGCCTGTCTTGGGATTTATGTCGCCTTCAAACTCGGGCGGCGCACCTTTTCGTAGCGGTACGGAAGCGAATTCGTCCTCGATCGCCGGTGTCACAACTCTCCTGCCATCCACTGCTGATGGCGTTCCGGTGGTTGCGAGATTTGGGTTCGAGGCTGGGGAAGAGAAGTCGGGCGTCGAGGTGGGGTTAAAGCCTTCTTGTGTATTGGCCGTATGCTGCAGTCGCTCAAATTCGGCTTGTTGATCGGGGGGTAAACGTGGCGGAGACGGCATGGACTGGAAGGGATTGGAGGTATTGGAAGAGGCGGAGCGAATGGGTTGGCGTATTATTGTTGATGATATCGAGGAGTGGCGTGGGAGTATGGGAATTCTCGCGAGTCGGGCGAGGACTGTGGGGCGAAACGCCATTTTGAGGGTAATATCAGGACAATTTACAATTAATAAGATATGTGGCCTTTATGAGGATATTGTAAATTAGGAATATCAAGATGTAAAAGTATGAACGATGCAAGTTGCACTTTAACTTAATGTGGCAATGGAAACTTCGATAGAAGCTCTTAAGATTTGATTATCTAATCAATGATAGAGTTTCGGGTATGTCGCCATAAAACGGCCCGCAATCACACCTTGGTACAAGGTGACTTCCTTATTCTTTTATGGAACTCAATTTGATTGGCTGATGGTTTCTTGCGCCTACCCGATAGAATTTAAATTTTTAATCTCGAATACATCCTGTTCGTACCTATCCCATTCGGCGTCGAAGTAAATGATAGATAAATACATACATACATACATATATATATACTAGATTTGTCTTTGACCGCATGGAAGCAAATTAACTTGAAGGTATTGATACTTGGGTAGCGTCATCCTCTTGCTTATGTGGGGTGTAAATATTTAAGAGGAAGCCATCCATAAAAGTAAAAAGGATAACCTCTCCATCCATATCAGAAGATAACGGAACGTAAAAAGGAAAGTCTACGAGCTCAGCAGGGATCGAACCTGCAATCTTCAGAGAACTGGAATAACCAAGACTGGAACCGAAATCTGACGCCTTACCATTAGGCCATGAGCCCAATGCTGTTGGAATACTCTGTGTCGTAAAGCAGCTTTATAAAGCTTTATTATTGGCCCCAGGCTAGCCCTGAAGCGTTATCTCTATCGAACTTTGTGGATACCATGATAGCCCACAAAATTTTATTTCTTCAACTCACCCACAACTAATCTAGACTATATAAGCCAAAACACTACAGTATATTATCACGTACGACCATAGGATCTGGAAAACTCGGGGTCCCGTTCGCTCCCCCATAGATAAGCCAGTTACCGTCGAACCAGTAGTTGGGTCGGTGACGACCAGCGAATCCTCGATGTTGTACGTTGTTTGTTTTTGTTTTTTTGATTTGTCTTGTCTTTAATTTTGTTATATGTGGATAGGATTATTGTATAAAATGGTAAGATTATCAACTCTAAGTTTTTAGATTTCAGCATCCTGTGACCAATAACCGTGTTTAGACAATAGTGGCCAATGAAAAACTAAATATTTAGCTTAATATTTCGTACATCAATATTCAGTACATGCCCTTTATTCTTTTTAAACCTTTTATTAGGTTGGGTCTGGCCCACTCGTTCGGGAGAAAAACGAACAGGGATGGAGCAGGCAAGACAAGGTGGGATGGTGGGGTTGGAAAAAAAGAAAGCGAGTGAGTGAGTCTTGCCTCCGGTTATCGCTTTAGGAAAATAGGTAGGAAGGTACCTTAATACAGGGCAGGTACGTATGTATACGTAGGTACACGTAGTGGAATAAGTGAAATAATATTTGGAGTTCCTCTTTAAAACAAACATCAATCTGTGTCGAGTGTTGACTCATCTCAATCCTTCTATAAAGAGTCAATATACCGACCTCCACTACGAATAACTTCCTTGACCAATTGACCTAGCTCGGAAATAATGGAGGCCCTCAAACAGACGTTTAAGCGCTGCAAGGCAGAGAACCGCGTATGATTCAACCCCTCCAAATTTCTGTGTGTTATACATACAGAGACATGTTAACACCAATTCCACGGTCGAATTGCTAACTGACTGTCTCATCGTATAGGCTGCTCTTGTGACCTATGTCACAGCTGGCTATCCCAAGTCAGAGGATACACCCGATATATTAATAGGAATGCAAAAAGGTGGCGCTGGTATGTTGTGACGAACAAATCCATCCGACGAACACCTCCAATAACGATTGATCAAAACTTAGATGTCCTCGAGCTCGGCGTACCATTCACAGATCCCATAGCAGACGGTCCAACCATTCAGACATCGAATACAGTTGCCCTAGCAAATGGCGTTACTATTAAGTCTACTTTAGAGATGGTCCGCGAGGCTCGGTCGAGGGGTCTGACTGCCCCGGTTCTACTGATGGGTTACTATAACCCCCTACTTAGCTATGGCGAGGATGAATTGTTGCGGGATTGCAAAACCGCGGGCGTTAATGGTTTTATCGTCTGCGACTTACCTCCTGAGGAGGCCATCTCCTTCCGAAAATTGTGTAGCAGAGGTGCATTGTCATATGTTCCCTTAATCGCGCCTGCGACGTCCGACACCCGTATGCGCCTTCTATGCGCCCTAGCGGATTCTTTTATCTACGTTGTCTCCCGTATGGGTGTCACCGGCGCACTAGGTACCCTTAACGCCAACCTGCCGAATCTTCTCGAGAGGGTGAAAAAGTACAGTGGCGACAAGCCGGCGGCTGTCGGTTTTGGTGTCTCGACGCACGAACATTTCCAATCCGTGGCTTCCATCGCCGACGGCGTCGTTATAGGTTCTCAGATCGTTACAACTCTGCAAAAGGCTGAACCTGGCACTGGCGCTAAGGCTGTTGAGGAGTACTGCGCCTACGTAAGCGGGCGAAACACACAAGACACGACGCGGGAAGTGGGCGTCATCGAAGCTATTAGTGTCGCTAAAGAGCCCAGTGGCGAAGATGTCACGGTCAACGGGGTCGTTTCAGAGCATGACGATGCCGCGTTGGTTGCTCAATTAGCTGCTCTTCATGGAAAAATTCCCGAGAGGTTTGGCGAGTTCGGTGGCCAATATGTACCAGAGTCGCTTATGGACTGTTTGTCTCAGTTAGAAGAAGGCTTCAACGCCATCAAAGACGACCCCAAATTTTGGGAGGAGTATAGATCTTACTACCCCTGGATGGGAAGGCCGGGCCAGTTGCATCTAGCCGAGCGTCTGACGGAACACGCTGGCGGCGCCAATATCTGGTTGAAGAGAGAAGATTTGAACCATACTGGGTCCCATAAGATCAACAATGCGTTAGGACAGCTTCTATTGGCGAAGCGGTTGGGTAAAACTAAGATTATCGCTGAGACGGGTGCTGGCCAACATGGTGTGGCTACGGCCACGGTCTGTGCCAAATTTGGCATGGAGTGTACAGTTTTCATGGGTGCTGTAAGTTGTTATGTTCTTCTCACTACTATTAATCAATGGCTTACAATCTACTGCAGGAAGATGTCAGGCGTCAGGCATTAAACGTCTTCCGAATGCGGCTGCTAGGAGCCAAGGTTATTGCAGTCGAAGCCGGCAGTAAGACTTTACGAGACGCCGTTAACGAAGCTCTTCGCTACTGGGTTGTCCATCTCGATGACACCCACTATATCATTGGATCTGCTATTGGCCCCCATCCCTTCCCTACCATTGTTAGGACCTTCCAATCGGTCATTGGTACCGAGACCAAGGCGCAAATGCTAGAGAAACGGGGTAAGCTACCCGATGCGGTAGTGGCTTGCGTCGGTGGGGGTAGTAATGCCGTTGGCATGTTTTACCCTTTTTCAAACGACCTTAGCGTCAAGTTGTTGGGTGTCGAAGCTGGTGGGGATGGTGTTAACACCACGCGGCACTCGGCTACGTTAACGGGTGGTACGAAGGGTGTCCTCCACGGCGTTAGGACGTATGTGTTACAAAATGAGCATGGGCAAATATCAGACACGCACTCAGTATCTGCTGGACTCGACTACCCAGGTGTTGGCCCCGAACTTTCATCTTGGAAGGATTCGGAACGGGCTAAGTTCATCGCGGCTACTGACGCAGAAGCGTTTGTTGGTTTTAAACTTATGAGTCAGCTAGAGGGCATCATTCCTGCGCTTGAGTCTGCGCATGGTATTTATGGCGCTCTTGAGCTAGCCAAGACGATGAAGAAGGATGAAGATGTAGTCATCTGCCTCAGTGGTAGGGGAGATAAGGACGTACAGAGCGTTGCCGATGAGTTACCCAAGTTGGGTCCTCAGATCGGATGGGATTTGCGTTTTTAAAGAGACGGGGATATCTACCCGTTGGGTCCATACGACTGAATCTGTCTTGGACCTGCTGGACTCGGAGTTGGCGCAAACGAGAGAAAAAAAAAGTAGAAAATGATATAATACATGGCATTTGTTAGCATATAGACCTATATCTAGATGCAATTTGTACAAATTGATTTACACAGATACAACGAAGGGTCATGCATCCTTCTCACCACTGGGCATCTAAGATTGTTTATTCCGTGAAATTCAAGGTTTGCTCGTTTATGAACCTGGTGTCTTTTTGTTTTCTTTCGTTTCTTCTTGCTCCATGTGATAGCCAACGTCCCTGGCAGCCTCTCTGGCCTCCTCAATGGCCTCAGCATCCCCCTTAATAACCATCTCTTCGCCTTCCTTCACCTCACCGATGACGAATTCATCTCCACGCTCCAACATGCCATCTATCTCATTAAGCATATCGTTGGTCACGCCCCCCGAGGCTAATTCTTGGGCAGCAGAATCTGAACCCGTTGCTACCTCCTTAGGGGGCAAGCCTAGCGCAGCGCGTTCGCGGGCAAAGCGCTCACGTATAGCAGGCGTCTGCATGATTTTCCACCGCAACGCCCAGCCGGCAGGGCCCAGGTCCTTGATACGACGGGTCTTGGAACCCAAGAGGTATTCGTCGATACCGCCGAGTCGGTCAATTGTGCGTAGGACGCGGGCCGTCAGACGGGTACGGATAAAGCTACCGAGACTAGGTGACCATAGACGCTTTGTATGTCGGTTTGGTAGCCAGGTGGTGCGCGACTTGTTGCCGTGCTCCTCGGCTACGGTGTTACCGAAGCGAATCTTGGACCCCGCGAATAGACCATGGTTCGCCTGTTTATACGTTCGGAATGGTCCGTAGGGGTAGTCGGGTACTTGGTCGGTAGGTACCGTTAAGTGTGAAGGGGTCTGACGGGAGAGCGAGGCGGTAGTGCTGAGGGCTCGTGATGTTATTATTCTTGTATTCGTATTTCGGATGGTATTTTGTGTGGATTGAGAGGAGAGGCAGCACCGCGATGGGCTTGCTATGATTCGTATCGGCGGCATTTTTGGGGAGTAGGGTAGATGGTTCGGATTGTCGTTAAATTTTTGTTGAAACGTCTATATCATAACGGCGACACGAACCCGGCTATTATGGGGGGAATTGCGAGTTGAATTGGTACGAATGGCTTCGAATTGAATGTGGGTAGGTATTTTTAAGTATATTTGAAGGTTCCGAGACGAATCAAGATTTCTTATCGATTTCCTTATCATAGTGGACCTCGAGTTATGATTAATTATTGTTTAAATCTATACGTGGTATTTATGCAAATACCAAAATCAGATCAGTCCAATCATGTGATTCCGCTCCACGTTCGTGATACCTTCCTCTATCCTTATCGGATCATCGCGGGGTTCACCGCCAATCGCTATCACTCACAAGATTCCAAAATTGTATTACGAATTAATCTTTCCAGCTACAAAATGTTGGCGATATTAATAAGATTTTCACGATGTTCCCCCCGATAGATGAAGCCGTCCTCAAAAGTAATCCCGACTTTGGGCGTCTCTATAAAACCGTCACTACCTCACTTCTCAACCCTGATGGGTCGACCGAGAGTCATGACCCGGCAGCTAAGAAGCGCGATGCTGTTCGCGATGTGAGTTATTAGCGCACTAGATATATATAGGGAGATAATGGGTAAATGTTTGAACCAATTGGCTTCTAATCATGTAAGTTTAGGAACTCAAAGCACATCGTCTTAAGGCGGCAAAACAGCATCTCCTCTGCCGCGCAATAGCTGTATCAACATCAGCAACGACAACTACCGACTCCAACGCGAGTCAACGACAACAATCACAACCTCACCGACGTACTAGATCAAGACCTCAGACCCAACAACGACCACGACCTTCCATTCCAGCTCCACCTTCTGAGATTCTCGATCTACTCTTGCTTCTCCCACCTTTCCTCTCTAACGCCTCGAGCATGTCATCCTCCTCACTAGCCCTCCTACTCTCCCGTCCACCATTCTCTTCGCTAGATACCTTATTCCCACTACTCACAACAACCCTCTCCGCCACATTAACACGACAAGCCAGCACCTTAGCCCGCGTGCTTAACCCCCATACCAACCCATCCTACATCCACCGCTCGATCCCGACCCTGGCCTCTCAAACCACCGACCTCCAAGCCAGCGTATCCAACACCACAGTCGCCCTCTCCCTCGCACGGCAGCGCGTTACCCACGACCTAGTTATACACCTATCGCAACATGCCGGCGCATTAGCCCAACTCGTGCGCATCCTCGAATCGAAACACGGCCCCGCGGCACGATCCGCTGAATTGCGTGCTGCGGCGGCAGGTCTCGAAACTCGAACTTGGGCTTTAGCCGCCGAAGCCTTACTCTGGGATGCGCGACGCACCGTCTACCCACCCGAAGCCCGACGCGCTCTCACCAATTACCGACGGCATTTAGGTGATGCGCGGATGCGTCTAGCCGATGCTCTACGCGTGCGCGAGGCCGAGCTTATAGACTATGGCGTAGGAGAGGGAGAGGACGGTCGAGGTGGAGATGAAGGGAAAGAGAGAACAATGCGCGAGATGGCTAGGGTATGGCGGGAGATGGAGACCAGATTGAACGAGGTCAGGGGTGATCTAGATCGGCTAAGTTAGGGTGAGCTACTAGACGATGATGCACGGTATCACCCTCCCAAGTGGAGAAGGGACACTAATTAATACAAGAACACAATTCATAACCAAATATAACAACCGAGTTCTAAGTAACAAATTTCATTTCCGTATCTACTAGTAGTGGTATCACAGGGATTGATCGTCTACCGTCTATCGACCAGACAGTCCAGGCAGATGTAAAAGATGGGGGAAATAAGGTACAAAGTAGCAGAGATGTATCAAGAACAACCCCCCGAAATGTCGTCCAGAGGACTATCGCGATGTCCATTAGTTCATTCGTCTATTCGTACCATCATGCCGAGTATGAGACTTTTTTTTCCCTCCCTTCAAGTATCCAGATTCATTCGCACAAAATGGTATATCTTATTTAACCCTTGATCTTATAGATAGCTTCGGCAAGGCGTCCGACGTTGTCGCTCGTGATACCGGCAACACTAATACGGCCGTCCTTGGTGGCGTAGACGCTGAACTCCTTAGCCAGCTTCTCCATGGAGGGAGCGTCAAGACCAGTGTAGGCAAACATGCCGATTTGCGATGTGATATGACTCCAATCATGGGAACTGCCAAGCTTCTCGAGGTTTTCCTTAAGCAGAGCTCGCATGCTAATGATTCGGTCAGCCATACCCTTGACTTCGCCTAGCCATTGCTGGTTAAGTGCCGGGTCGTTGAGGATCTCGGACGCGATACGCGCACCGTGTAGCGGCGGGTTCGAGTAGAAGGGTCGGATAAGGATTTTGACTTGGGAGTCAATGCGCTTCTTCTCCTCGGGGGACGAGGCGACGATGGAGAAGGCACCAACACGTTCTCCATAAAGACCCTAGCAAGCCACTCACATTAGTCGAGATATACCTAAGTGGTGGGGCGGTATGGAAGAGGCAACGCACCATGTTCTTGGCGAAGCTTTGGGCTAAGCAAATGTCGTGACCCTGTTCAACGAAATGTCGGACAGCAAAGGCGTCCTTATCCGTACTACCACTAGCGAAGCCCTGGTAAGCCATATCGAAAAAGGCGTAGTGGCCTTGAGCCTTGACAGCATTGCTGATCTCCTTCCATTGTTCCTGGGTAGGGTCGACACCGGTGGGGTTATGAGCACAGGCGTGAAACAGGAAAATGCTTCCCTTGGGAGCTGCCTTAATGTCTGCTAGCATTCCTTCAAAGTCTAGCCCGATAGTGTTCTTATCATAGTAACGGTACTGCTCAACCTTAAGACCGGAGTCGTTGAAGACAGCCTTGTGGTTGGCCCACGAGGGGGTGGGGATATAGATGGTCTTGTCGCCCGGGTAGAATCGTGAGAGGAAAGCGCCGCCAATGCGGAGCGCACCGGTACCGGAGATGGATTGGGTTATGACTAGACGGTCGAGAGCGGACGAGTTCTTGCCGTAGGCGAGCTCGGCGGCGGCCTTGGTAAATTCGGGAAGGCCGGTAATACCAAGGTATTCTTTGTTCAGGCGCTTTGAAATGACCTTGTCCTCGGCGGCGCGAACGGAGGGGAGTACGTAGGGTTTTCCTTGATCATCTCGGTAGGCGCCGACACCTAAAATGAGGGGCATTAGTATTCATGTCTTATTCTCGATAGAATTCATGTAGACCTAATTGGACCAAAAATATAGTAGGAATCTAAGTAGTTAAAACTAAAGGGTAATATAAAATCCAACATACCCAAGTTGATCTTCTTCTCAAAACTATCAGCTTTGAAAGCTTCGGTGATACCTATATACGGTTAGAGGGACAACATCCAGCTTTGTTTACTATGTATGAGCGATATTATATACCTAGAATAGCCTGACAAGTAGAAAAATGTCGCGTTAGTCAAAGGATGAGGTGGTCGTAGGTTTATTGCGCATATAGCTCAAAACTCACATCCTATAATTCAAGCTGTTAGCGATTATTACCCACAATAGATGCAAGGCGTATCTTCTGGAGGTCTTCCCAAACTCCAATGCAAGGAGCTAGAAGCCTAGGTAATAGTAGTAATAACAATTGCACAATTATAACATACAGGTGGGCCTTGAGGCACATTGGCCCAGGTGGATCCGGCTCTCGCAGTTTGGAAAGCCATCGCTGATCCTCGAATCGCAGCTTGGCCAGCTTGGCGAGGGGCGATACGAAGTGCGGGAAGCATCTTGAGAGATGTTTTGTCTGTAAGAATGAAAATATGTAGTTATATGAAGGTCGAATGGGGGACACGACACAAAAAGAAAGGAGAGAAAAAAAGAGAGAAGGATGTTACGAGTGTTATGTGTCACGAGTTGAGAAGAATGTGTGGTATGTATGAGTAAATTTTGTGCTTGGTTTGTCGAACGATTTCGGGTCCTGATGCAGTTTAGAAGTTTAGAATTAGCTCACCCTGCGCCCTAACTGCAATTGTTACTTTGCAGCTTCGGTATTACCTAAACTACCTAAACTACTACGTAACTGCCCTATTTACGTCCAGCTCCAGCTAATTGTCGTAATTGATTGGCGTCTTGTCACTTCTTTCTTTCCTCTTTCCCCAGGTTTGTCTAACAGCTTAATTATTAGCGCACCAATAAGTTTCCCCAGACGAGACCCACTAATCCGAATCGGGCTATTATCGGCTAATCATCTAACTCCGGTTTGGTCAATGCGCTGTGAAGGACCCGTTATCAGATAAAAATTAAAGTCAATCCGAGTCAACTTAACTCTGTTAACATTAAACTCACCAATTAGGACAGACTCTATATCTCTAAAACCTCTATATTATCGCTACAAGACATTCTAATAGAGGCAAGATGGTAACAATTTACCGTGTGATAGGTATTTATAGGGATATGTTCAATGACTCGTATCCCGTTGTCTCCGCCATCGGAAAATAGCCCGTCAACACAAGTCTCAAAATAAAAAGCAAGTACTCCATCGAAACCTCGCGATATGGACCCTTTTAAACCATCAAGCGTCTGTAGGTATACATTTACACTCACTATTTGAGACATTATGTTTGGTTCGGAAATCTTCAATATGGGTTAAATTGACCCGAATCCAATCAACTCATCTCTCATAACATTCATAATTACATACAAGGGGTATCTTATTTTACATCAATGCGCTATTCCTATGCCTATTCCTGGCATGCCCCAAACACTTTCACATCTTTCCCTTGTCTCTGGTTCCTTTCTTGTCTCCTCCGCTGTATGATTCTCTGCGATCCGGTTTTCGTCTCGGTTCCCTATATCGAGTTGTCTCATCTCTGGTATTTCGTCTAATGATGTCGAACTTCTTTCGCTAAAAAATGTATATCGTTCTGGATGTCCTGGGGGAAGAGGCCATCTTCGACTATCCCAAACATCGCCTTTATTCGACGGAGTAGGGGCGATGCATTGTCCAGTATCCCCCCAAATCGAGCTACGACCTGTGTCGGCAACCGATACTCTTATTTTGTTGGTGTGGATTTCTTTCGCTTGTTTCGCTTGAGACAGTTCCGATATGGTACTATCTGGCGATACTCTCAACTCTCGCTTAGGGATTTCTTCCACGTCGTATTCCCGCCTCCGTACTATCACATAGCGTACTATTATGGATATTATAGTGATTAAAACAACTACCGACACTACTGCCGCAATGGCCGCAATTTGCGCCGGGCTGAGACTTGTCCCCATCGACGACATATCGAGCACCGTCGAAAGAGATTGCAAGTTGTTTGGTTCCGTAATCGAAGGCGAACAGTAATGCCGATGCGAAACTCTTCAGGCTGGTCTTAGAGCCGGCAGCGCTTGGACCCAGTCTCGATTGACCAGTAATGAAGGAGCTAAGCTCTTCAAATTCTTCACGGGAGTAAGAGATGCGCTAATCAAAGGCTGGTGCCGTCCAGCTCAATACACCAGGAACATCGGGACCAGTCGTCAGTAATAAGTTGAACTAGCCAAGGGTTGCGCTCAACGTGACGGTGGCGTATTCTCATTTGTGTTGGGCGGTTCGGTTTGCTGAATTAAGTTCCTAATTTTCATGTGCTCTCAATTTAGTATGAGCCTATCGTCGAAATTCTCTCCGAAATCCTCAACTATGGTCGCATCATAGTGTACAAGAGAAGATTCGAATTCACCTCAATTGGCGGTCTTGCTATCCTCTATCTAGGAAATGTCCCACAACTAGAATATGAGCAAAAGAAACCCTACACATTTGAACAAAGGACGAAAAGGGGGGGGGGGGGGGGGGGGGGTCATTTAAGTCGGAAGGTCCCCGGGCGCGGGGCCACCGGGTCAAAATGCACGTTTATGGTGTAAATACCCCGGTCGACCGGGGGGGGGAA